AAAAAAATTCGCAAAATATTCATACTTTCAGAGAAAATGAGTGTCTTACGTTAGTTGGATCACCCTGTATATATATATATTGTATAATTTTGTATTTTATTTAGCAACCCTAATTTAGAATAAAACATCTTGTAGCCTGCAGCTGAGAGTTAGATTATTTAACAGTGTGACCGCCCGTTCTAGCTCCTCGGGCAATATATTAGGTTAATAAGGGAGACTTTAAGGCCAATTAGACGTAGACAGCGGTCTAGCCAACCGTTTTCCCGCGAGAATCCGTCTATTTTAGCCTTATCGACGGCCACTTTGCCTAGTCTAGCCAGCTAGACAAGTAGGTCCGTTACAATAGCATAATAGCATCTCAATACAATGAGATTTCATTAATTTTTTGGGGGGGCTAGCATTTGTCTACCTAAAATGACCCGCAAGGGATTTACACTCCTAAATTATTAATATATAATACTATATAACATTACAAATGTATAAACAAAAATCATAATAATTATAATATAATATTTGTATATTATTTAAGTAAATACATATTATTTTAAGGCAATGTATTCTTAGATCCAAATGTATCAATTATTTTTTCTACATCAATATTTAAATCGTTTTCAATGTACAATATGGATGAATTATTAAACCTGTCTTGCAACATACTAGTACGTTACCATGTCTTAATTTTGCGCATAGCTGAAAAGCTGCGTTCGCACGTAGCTGAACTAATTGGCAAAGACAAGGCGACTTGAAATAATTTAAATAAGCTGGGAAATACATTTTGGGTTAAAGCCTTTTGAATTTTATCAATATTGATTGCGTTTTCTGAAAAATGTATAACTTTATTTAGCACTTGAATTAAAAAGAAATGATAACATTATCAAAAACATTGTTATAATGTTTTGCCTTTTTGGAACTGAAATAATTTTCATAATTTATTCTTATTAATAATTTTAATTTTTACTCCATTAATTAAGGAATTTATTACTTTGATGAGTGATCAAATAATTGGGAGGGCTATTGATAATTTTGCAAGCACCCCCCAATCTCCGCCTATGAAATATAGTATTTTTCTCCTTGTACCTCAATGTACAATAAATGTTCAAATTAAAAAATAGACAATTCTTGAGCTAAAATGATATTTAAATTTTTTACGTGTTCTGGAAAAAAAGTTTTTAATATTTTCTTATTTTACAGTAAATTGGCAGGATTTTAGAAATGAAAAAATAAAGAATACTAAATTACTAAAGAATTCTCTAAACACAAATTTAAAACTTTTTTGAGCATTTTTAAGTTAAAGCGTGACTAATTTTAAGTTAAAAAAACAAAATTTCGGATCGTTAAAGAACGCTGAACAGTCCGTTATCATCTAATAGCATAACAATTTTAAGTCGGTCAAAAACGGCTATTTTTTTGCTTTTTCGTTAATTTTTTTATCTTCAAAACACAACTCTTTTTTCGTTGCTTCTTGATAATTTGCCTTTTAAGTAAATTTAACTTTCTGACACCGCCACTAAAATCAATTGATGAGTTTTCGATGCCACCCAACTGCTCTTCACGTTGATACACTTTTCTAATTTTCGACCGTTTGTTTGGCTCCTGAAAAAGTTTAGGTTCATTGTTTTAAGAGTCATTCAGTATGCGGCTAATATAATAGCTTAGCTGCTAGCTACGTACTTGAAAAATAGGCTAGACATTGGGTAGGGTTAGATTAGGTTCTATGCTAATGTGATACTACCTTTTACTAGCCTTTTATAGAAAATATCTCAAAACTTTACCTGTGCACTTATACACCTACACTGGTTATGCCACTTGGAATGTCAGAATAATTATTTATTATCGTTGTGTATTATCTAAAAATCAACCCAGTTTTAACATTTAATTCGTACACTCGAGTTATCAAACAAATAAAAAGCCAGGACAATGCGGTCAAGTTATTTGTAAAAAATTTATGATACAATAAATTTTCCTAGTTTTGACTTTGTCAACTTGTCTATGTTAAAACTTCAATATCGGCCGTTATAGTTTTTAAGATATTTTCTTCGTTATTAATAGATAAGCCATAAGGGGTGACCTACATAAAGTTACCAATTAAGCAGTTAAGATATTAATGTGATAAATTGGATTAACTCAAACACTAAATCAATGCAAAATGTTCCATATAAGGTACCATCAGGTTGCAAATTAGGTAACACATGTATATATTTTACTTAGGTTTGTCGACTTGTGTCAATTTCTAGTGAATGATTGGGAACAGCTGCTGTCATATCTTCATTCGAATTATTATCACTATCGTCGTCTTTTTTACAGAGATTGATTTTGTATTTTTTATTTTTGCACTTGTGTACTCTCTTTAGCTGCGTGAACGATTTGTGGTTTTCGTCGATTTTCCATAGTATTTTAAACGTCGTACAAGGGAGCTTCGATAAAAGTTGCTCTGACGGTGCCGGTGTGTTATAATTCATAACACAGTTTCTCACGAAAATCATGTTACTGCATGTCAAACATACTACAAAATATTACCACCTATAGGCTATTTCAACACAGCAGAGTCGGATTAGACAAAGCAGACATTACGATTATATAGCCCTATCCGCCTCAATATTAATTTGCATTTTACTATGATCAAGTACACTATACTTAAGAGATTTAAATGTGTGCTCGGTGATTAAGTTCGGTTTAACAGTTAAACAAGCGCGTCGTAATTATTGCTTACCTTACACAGCCTGGACTCAATTCTTTAAAATTATTTTGCGTACATTTCCAGGATTTCCAGGATAATCCTTCCGACGTGGAAGGTATAGGCTCTGGTGGCATTTCTTCTTGCGGAAATATGATAGGCCGCTTTTTCTTTGAATTACCTTCGAATATGATTTGCTCGTGTTCTATTCGGGAACAATCATCAATTGACAGATTATCTTCGGAATTAGACATTATCTCAAACGAGTAAAATAATTAATAAAAAACAGGTAATTCACCTATTTCTCATTTTGTTTGACTATATGCAAAATACCATAGAAACACATTCGTAATAAACACGTTACGCGCATCAAGTCCAAATCAATTTTAAAACGAAAAAGTTAATTTATTTCTGATAAATAATTAATATTAATTTTTTACTTAATATTAAGCGATATTAATTTCTGCGTTTAATGTTTAAGGTCGATAATGTCTGTATTGTTACAATAAGTCTACATGCAACTAATAAAAAGGTTTACAATAAGGGCGTGCGATTATTCAAATTTTGAATAATTTATCACAAATTGAATAACTCAATTCAAATATACGCTTATCGGCTTTTTTATTTAAAATAGTGAAAGAGAGTAATTTATTCAAGACACTTTACGAAATTGTATTTTTAAAAATGGAATAAAATAAACAATAAAAATAAAAATGTAACACTTCATTCAGTTCATCATTGTTCGCACACCACTATATAGTTTAAAGCGAACTAAAATTGAAAGTTGTTATTGAAGATATAGATTTATTTTTGTTTTCTGTCACAATGAAAAAAACATGAAACATAATGTGTAGTATAGACTAATTATGCAAAACAATGTTAATTTGTTTATGTAATGCACAATGTTAATTTGTTTATTTCCGTAATAATTATTTTATACGTCATTGTCAGAACAAATGAAAGTAAAAGTTTCAGCGCGAGGCAATTTCACTAGTAGTTTAGTTAGTTAGTGTAAACGCATACCAAGTATACCGTATACGTATAATGTATAAAAATGAAATAGTTTCTCCATATAACTGTATTTTATGTTCGTTGTTTAATACCGAAGTGATTGAGATCTTGATTATTATCAACTAATGAGTATTTTAGAAATTTAGATTAGTTTCTAGTTTCGACGTGAGTAGGTAGATATAATATATGTATATGTAGGTTATACATCTATCATTATTACACGCTTGCTCAATTGGTTAGGTTAGATTAGACTGGTTTAGAATGGTGATCACCGATAGTTACCTATACTCTGTTCTTATTCCGAACAGAGTATAGGGGAACGGGAGGCGGGAGCAAAACTATAAATACAGATAGCTTACATACCTAGTGACCCTAAAATCTTTTTTTAGAAGTCAATAGTAAGTACCTAAGTAGTTATTCAGCATTTTCAAAATCCAACTTAAATGTTATTTTAAAACATAATAATACTAGGTTTATGCAGTCCGATATTAATTTTAGTAAAATAACTTGTAAGTCTGGTTCGATGTTCAAGTGCGTTTCTGGACAATAAAGCTAGCAATTTTTTTTTCTCTTAATCTCATTTCGTTTCATATACATGTTTATTTTTACAAAATAACCCAAACCGAGTATTACATCTTTTTTAATGGGTAGCAACATTCTGTCGTCGTCCAAATAAGAAAATATTGAATTTCTTATTTCAGATAATTTCTCAGAATAATAAAATTCGGTCCGGAAGTTTTTTTAATTTTTGAAATATAATAATGTTGTACCGAATATTTAAAATATTGGTTAGTACTGTGTATACTAATTTTCGCATGAGAGAGTCTATAGATAAAAAATGGTACATCATATGATAAGTACTTTATCAGGCTAAAAGTTTAAATAACACATTAAAATCAATATGATCAGTTCAGTAATAACACAATTATAAATACAATATTGCAAGGTACCTGTATTATTTTTAGTTTTATTGATAGGTTGTAACTTATCAAACTAAATTTAATGATTTAAAAAAAAAAGTATTTTTAATTTCCCTGTGATAGAATTGATTAAGTAGAATAGAGCACCATGCAGGTTTGCATCATGAAGCCTTTTTTAAATAAATTTAATTTTCTCATTCATAATAATTCTTAGAGACCTTTAACCGCCAAGATCCTACTAAGCTCTCAACTCTACTGTGATAATTTTTTTTTTTTGAGCTCGGTTTTAAACAATTTTTTAGGTGCAAATTAAATGATTGAATCTATTTGAAAATAGTTTAATGACATAAAAAAAAAAAAAATCATAAGCACTGTGACGATAAGTAATAAATAATTGTACAAACTACATTAAACATTAGACAATTCAATTTAAATAAATTTAATTAATAAACCTAAATAAAACTGTAAAAAAAGTATATTTTAAAATAATATTTTTATTTTTAAAGCAAGAATATGAATGAGTTAAAATTTAAAAAACTTAATATTAAATTTTAATTATAGTCCATATTTTCAATGCAACTAACTATTGACTGATCAAAGTCTGTATTATTAATATCGTCGGCTATCGATGTATTCATTTTAGCTAGAAAATAAAAACATTTATAAAAATAAGGATTAACAACAATAATAATTGAAATTAACTTACAGCTATTGAAGTTGGAGCTATCATCGCAGTAGCCTTTTATTTTTTGACTTTCTTCGAAGAACTGATTAGGATGGTTAATAGCTGTAGAAGAGGGTGATGCACCATTTTTGGCTTCAAAGTATTTTGTACAAGCAATTTGGTAATGACCACTTTGTGAAAGATTTAAAATATCTTGTACACCTTTACAAATCATATTTATTTATTTATAATTATAATAAACTTTAAATTTTTTATAAATCATCACACAAAAATTATGGTATAAACTTACTTTGAGGCGAAATATTTGAAGATTCGAGTAGTTGTTTTAGTGCCTGACTATTAGTGTGTTTATATGGACATCCGTGGTATTCGTCCATTCCCACTGAACTCATGATAATTTTCATGCAACTGTAAGGAGTATAGTTTGTTTTTTTGCCTTCTTTACCATAGTTATGTCGTATGTTGTAGCTGTATTGTTTATCAAACTAAAGTGTTCAACATAATATTACAAACTATTATAATTAGCTTCAATGCATAGTTGACAAGTTGTTGTTGTGAAACAATAAAACACAATGATGTGTTTTATTTTTGTGTCTGGACCCCTGATATCATCTAAGCCTCTGAACAGATTTTTTCATAAAGTAACTTTATAGATCAGATATTGTATCTGAAAGGTGCTGTATTGGACAACAATTTTAAAAAATCACACCTTCCCCTTCAGAATATAAAAAAACATCAAACAAATTTACATTTTTCAACATAAAATTACAGTGCTCTATAACTTTTTTAAAAATACTCAAATTAGTTCTAAATTTATATGAAGTATTCTTAAAATTAAGTCATATTGATAAACATTGAGAAATAAAAAACATAAGGGGTGGAAACTTTTTTTTCACTTCTCTTTTTCATACGAAGTATTAGGAATAGGTCGAAAATTAGACTAAAGGTAGATCTGTAGTAAGATTATAACATATATGATTTTCTTAAAAATCTGTAGTCAAATGTTACTATTATTAAAGAAAGAACTAAAAATAAAGAAGAAAATTATACTTTGACTATAGTAAACTTCTAGGCCGTGTGTGAGTGAATCAACAGTCAAATAGTCAACAGGTATTTAAAAATATTTTCACTTTATTGTTCATTACAATGTATGATAACAACGGCAATAAATTACGGCAACAGATGTATAACCTAAAACGTATCCACCCTAATACTAAAATTTCAATTTTAAGCACATTATTATGTGATTTTATCAATATATTTTGCTTTACTACCATAAAAGATTTGCAGCAAAGAATTTATCTGAAAGTGATTTCATCCCATTCAGTTAATAATACTTTTTGAAGACTTGTAACCCCTCCTAATATGGGGGGGGGGCACTTGAATATGCTCAGTTAACCATTATAACCTGATCCCACTGTACTGGCTTTTTAAATATTAATGTTGTCATATTAATTTTTTTTCATTATTCATACCTTATCTGTATCTATTTTTTTGGTAAACTCTGATCTCCAAAATACTAATGCTTGCTCTAAAGGTAATCCGGCTCCTTTTAAGAATAAACCGTATTGCTGACGAGCTTGATGTTTTAGATGATGGTCAGTTCTTAAAACAACATGCAAACGTTTCATGCAAAGAGGGAAAGAATCTTTTGATGCCTGTATTAAAAAAACATATGAATAAGACAATAAATATTTTATGTCCATAGCAAAAAAAAAAAACAATCATTTTTTTTTAATATATAAGAAAATTATAGTAAAATTAATACCTTGTAAGCTTTGCAACAAAGCTAAGGGTAATTTCTATATTTTATTTTAAATTAACTCACATGATCTATGTTGTTGATAGACAGTGAAGACATGTTTTCAGATACTGAGTAATTTTTGCCCATGTATGACTGATGTAAGTACTTAATGAATGCGCCAAACCTTTCATCTTCACTAATTATACTAAATTTTTGGAAACATTTCTAAAATTTTAAGGCAATTAATATTCAAGTTTAAATTAAAAATGTGCGCAATTATTAATAATTAATGATAAAAAAATAAATCTTACAATTAATTCTTGAGACAGTTCCGATCTATATGTTTGACAGATACCAGATATTACATCAGTTTGAATGACATAAGCAAATCCATTATGAAGAAATACTTTTCTATTACGTATCAAATCCAATACTTGTGTCCAACGAACTTTAAAATAGTCATTATTACTACTTGAGGTAGTGAATGAGCTCATATTTTCAATCATTAATTTGTATTCCTCTTCATTAACCTAAAATATATAAATATAATTTTTTTACACACAACAAAACATTTTCCATTACAGAATAATTAAAAAGTATATTTAAAAAAATATTGAAATATGAAATTTAACTTACTGCTGAGTAATTGGTGTCATTAGTTGATAAAAATGTTAATTTTTCGCTCTTTGATAAAAAAGACCACCGTAATTTAAATAGCTCTACTTCTCTATTTACAAACCATTTGCGTAACTCATCACTTTTACAATATATAAGCCTTAGAATAAAATGTGAACATAAATCTCTTTTTTTTATTTCAGCATTTTCTACTGGATCTTTAGAACGGTGGCCACTGATCTAAATATAAATATTATATACAAGGTTATAAAATAGTTAATAGAATTACCATATTTTAAGAATACATTATTAGTTAATATATGATAAATAACATCATACCAACTTATACATATGTTTTAAACCTTCTTTTTTAACTTCTTGAACTACTGATTTTGTAAATTCTTCATAACTATTTGTAGTACCTTTTAAACACAATTGTTCCAAAATCTGTAAAACTAAAAATCAAACGTAATTTAGGAATTCAAAAAGTACTGTGATTTCTTTATATAAGTTTGTACCTTTTAATCTTTCAATTGCCCATTCTTCAAACTCATCTAAATTCAAACTATGATCAGGTATTTCTCGATAAAGTTGTAAATTGTTGGAAGATGACGAGAGTTCTTCAGCTTTTTCAATTGCTAAAGTTTTTCTACTAGGTGTAAAATTCATGTTTCTTGTTTTCTGCTTCTGAATTAAAACTGAATAAAACCAGTGAGTTAATGAATTACAAAAATACATATGTATATTATAATAATACTGCAACTGAATACTGTTAAAATTTATTGACCAAACTATACATTAATGTTTTAATTGTAGTAAATTTAATGTTAAATATCAATCAGCACTATTAAAACATATATATTTTAATTTAATGAGGAATATATTTTTCAGTTATGATATTTTAGAAGTGAATTTTTGATCCATTTATAAGTTCTTTCAAGAATTCAAAGGGGACCATGACAGTGATATTAGCAAAAACATAAATGCTTATTTCCATTACATAAATTGTACTTACAGAAGACTGGTGTAATAATAATATTCAGCAATTTTAAAACTAAAACAATTTTTAACTATAATGACAGCGAATTGACGCCAAATTTACATAATTTGCCAAGCCTACTGTGTTTTACACACAATTTTTATCACTTTTGTTTGTCATGATATTTGGCGGGAATGTAGCATCCTAGATTACAGCTGATGGCGGTTTCTCAATTTTTCCATAACCAAAAAACAAGAGGTATGTCAGAAACTTTTGTTAAACATTTTCATAGCATAACTTCTAGTATTTTCCCTAAGAAATACACGGCCGGCCAAAATATCGGTAGCCATTTTGTGATCTTTGCATGTTGCAGACATACCTCTCTTTACTTTTTTTATAATTCTACCTCCATCGCCATACTATCACATTGAAAAAACATGAGGTTACCTTGGTATGACAATATGGTACTGTGGAGAGATTTATCTCTCGATCACATTATTATAAATGCTCTATTGTTTGTTTCTTCGTGGTTATGATTAATGACATAACATAACTCGTACCGGCCAATTATAGATAAGAGTGTTCGATTAGTAGAATAATAAAAAAATTAATACTAATTTTTATTCACTAAAATTTATTAATTTGTATACAGACAAAAGATTAGTTTATGAAGATATTTTAGTGACGCTAGTAGTATGACGCTTTTGAGGGCGTTCGCATTTCCATTGTCGTTCTAATTTAGTAGGTATAGAATAAAAAAAAACAAGTATTATTTAGAATGGTATTTATTTATCACACTGGAATTGCATTATACATATTGATATTATTGTACGGCCAAAATGCCTTGGCTATCAACTCGTTGTTGGCTGAACCATCTTGTGCCGATGACTTAAAGTTAAGGTGCTCGAACACTGGTGGCGTTGCTGTGTCAGAACTCGATATCTTGGAGTGCATTCAACTCTATGAGGTAAGCAATGACGTGCACTTCTTTTAATATGTATTATAACATTGACTTGAAATTATTAGATGCATTTTATGTTTATATATTGTATTTTAGGAACAAATTTACTTTACTTTTTTTTGCTAATTTCGAATTTGAAGTGAATACCCAAGACAGCCACGGTATTCCGTGTCTCCACAAACCTCTAGCAGTGCGTTGTGGTGATTATCGGTTTTTGGTTAAAGTAGAAGTACAGATAAATAATAAAAATATTCTAAGAAAAATTTGTATAAATTATGGAATAAATGCACTTTACCAGCTATCTTTTTCTTTGCGATTTTTTGTTTGCCATATAATAGTGTTTTTCGTTGATTTTGAGGTCGGAATTAGGCGGACTCCTCTGGTTTATAAGTTACAGCTACTTAAACTTTGAAGTCCCCATATAATAGTAGGCGATCGGCTGGAGGCAATGAATAGCGACCGAAGCAACTATGCCCTTGTCCTTCGTGGTCTTTTTTTTTTTGGACATGTCACATGGCTTTCAGAGCCTGCATCACGGAGGGCTGTGGGCGCTGTGCCGCAGTCGCTTAACAATATTCTTAAAGTCTAAGTCGCTGTAACTTTTGAACTAGAAGAGTCCACCTAATTCTGACTTCAGATTCATAATCAGCGTAAAAAACACTATAATATGGCATAAAAAAAAAAGGTAAAGTGCATTTGTTCCATATTTATTTCTGAAATTAAAACCTGTAAAAGCATTTTATATATATATAAAAAGACAAGTTAATGAAGACATCACTTTGACCGCTGCAGCGTCTCGTGCACTGTATATTTCTGTACTAGCATAATGGTAATTGCTAAAGCTCTAGTAGCTTTAACTTTTAAAATTAAAAGATTCCTTAAATTTCTTACATTAGATCATAATTGGCATAAAAATGGGTTTTAAACCATTCAACTGTTTTAAAAGATATAACATTTGCACTATGTAGCTTAAAAATTTTAAACCGTTAAGAAATATTAAAAATTTTATTAAGTTTTAAAACGTTTAATTGCTTTGTATAAACATAGTAATTTTCAATCTTTGATTAATTATTATTTTATTGCTAATCAAAGTTGAAATATTTTTACACGCAGTGATTTAACTTAAAATCTTCTTAACTTTTTTAAATTATTTATTATATAATCTTTTTATTATTGTGTTTAACAGGATTCAGAATTTACAGGCAGTTGTCCACAGGCGATATGGGTTCACTTAAAAAAGTTCATGTTAAAAGATAATTTAAGAGCTATTTTAAAACCAAAATGCCGATACGACATTGAAAAGCTTAACTGTGAACGAGATAAAAATTGGTTTGGTTGCATAGTTGATAAGAAACAAAATATTATTGGAAATGAAGAGTGCTTGCATTTGATATTACGCATAGAAAATATAGCATTTTCCGACTTTAGACTCATTACTAATTTTTCAAATGTTTGCCAAGATGATATAAAAAAATACCATTGTTTTAATGCACCAACAAACGTAAGTTTACTTAAATTACACTACTCTTTATATTGGGGCGGTGTGGCGCAGTGGACACCTCAGCTGCCGCATGGCACTTGAGGTTAAGCTGTGGCCGTTGCTGCTTGAACCCGGATGGGTGACCACCTGGATTTTTAGTGGCGACCCACACCATCAACCCCCGATAAGCATGGTAGAAATGCCATGCGTCCTCAGGCGATCGAACTGGCATAAGTTAGCTATAGCCTTCCCGGTCAAATACGCCATACGATTATTATTATTTTTTTTTTACTACTCTGATTTTTTTTATGTCGAATAATAATTATATGTAATATTTTATGTGTATAGACATTATATCGTGGGCGTGTGCTGGAGTGTCTTCAATCCAACATAGACAAACTTTCTTCACATCAGTGTCTTCCATTGGTTTATAAACTATCTGAATGGCAAGCAGATAATATAAAATTTGATCATTCTTTACATTTGGCTTGCTTAAAAGATAAGGAAAAGTTGTGTGCTGATTTACCAGCAGGAAATGGTCTTGTTTACAATTGCCTTTCAAGGCATATTGGTAGTGGACAAATGTCGCAATCGGTAATTTAACATTCAATATAATTAATTAATAATTAGAATTATTTTTAATAATTATTCTCTTAATGTATATTATAGTGCCAAACTCAACTATGGAGAAGAGAAAAACTAATAGCTGGTAATATAAGAGTAAGCAAAGGATTAACAAGAGCATGCCGGGAAGATATTCGTACTTATCATTGTCGAAGACTTGTATCTGATGATAAAGATGTTCGATTAGCACAACTTCTATTATGCTTGGAAAATGCAATTCATAATGGTAAATCTATCAATTGAAATGTATGAACATTAACTTCCTAATTAATTTGAATATTTTAGGAAGTAAAGTATCATCTGATTGCCAATTTGAATTAATGGAACATCGTAAACTATTACTTCAAAATTACCAGTTATCACCTGAAGTAGTGTCAATGTGTTCAAACGATATCGAAAACTATTGTCAAAGGAATGAGATTGGCCGACAGACTATTCATTGTTTAATGGAACATTCTAATCCTTCTCGTCAAAAAAACCGTATAGGAAAATCTTGTCAAAAAGCTGTAAATAATTATAATTATTCTATACTTATTTTATTAAGTTTTTAGCCAATTATTAATATTATTTTTAATTATTTAACCAGTTACAGAAGTTAATGCGCATCACAAATATTGGCGAAGATTGGAGAGTTGACCCTGTTCTACAAGAAAAATGTCAGTCTGAAGTTGATAAGTACTGCTCGGATATACCACCTGGTTATAATAGGTAATTTAAAGTAATAAATAAAAAAAGGTTTACAAAGACTTTTTATATAAATTTGTTTTACTAATAATTATATTCTTATTATTTGTTTAATGTTTAGGGTAATGACATGTTTGTTGGAAAAGTTATATGTGGGATCAGTGCAGGATGAATGTAAAAATGCATTGATGCAAGTTCAATACTTCATTAACCGTGATTATTCATTGGATCCAGCGTTATATCAAGCCTGTTTTTCTGACGCATCACGAATTTGTAAAGTTACAAGTGATTGGTTAAAAGAACAAAAAGAGAGCACATACATTCTACCATGTCTTGTTCAGTACTATCGACCATTTATATTATCATCAACTGGAGCTAAATATAAGGTAAACAAAAAATCATAATGTATGATGTATCAATTTTTTGTGTCTGGTCCCACAATATCTTTTAACCACTGAACCAATTTCTTCATGTAGCTAAAAAAATAATTTATTTTCAAAAATGTTAAACATAAAAATAGTGATTTTACTAGTATTTATGCTTGTTAACAAAGTTAACTATTTTTATAGATTCTGTAAACATTTAGTACCATTTATGACATATGACTATGTCATATTTCACAACTTTAAGTTCAAAAGAAAAATGTTCATTACATTTAGATTTAATTTTGTTGTATAGCTGAAACCGAAATGTAAAGATCAAGTAAGAAAAGTAATGGTTCAACGAGCTATAAGTGTTGATTTGAATCCAGAAATTGCCGAGGCATGCATTAAAGATCTACCGAATTTCTGTCATGTTAAAACAGGGCCTGGAGAAGAAATGCTTTGTCTACAGGATAACTTAAATAAGTATATAATGATTCAATCATTATAAGAAGTTTAAAAGTTTAAACTACTATGTTATTTTATTTAAGTAATCAAATGTCAAAGGATTGTAAAGAATCAATAAGTCGTTGGACTGAAGCACAAGCTGAAGACATTCAATTAAATCCTATTGTCAGATTACATTGCAAACCTTTTATTCAAAAATTTTGCCTTGTATGTATTCATTTTTTAAAAATAATAAATGCAAAAATTGTACTTCAAGTTAGTTATTAATTTTATATATTTTAATTTTAGGGAGAGCTTTCTTCTAAGGATGATAGTACAAAAAACGATGTAATAGATTGTTTAATTAAAAACAAAAACGACCCAGAAATGAAAACTGAAGTGAAATGTCGAGCTTCTGTAGAACATTATCAGTTGATATCAATGAATGATTACCGTTTTACTTTATCATTTAAAGAAGCATGTCGATCAAATGTTATTCGTTTCTGTCCAAAATCACGAACTAAACCAGAAGTAAATGTTTTTAGAAAATAAAAAATTGTATTTTATTGAGTAGTACTATTAAGAATGGGTTTGCTTAATTTTGGCTGTATATTTTCTAGGTAGTGGCATGTTTAAGTGAAGTTGTTAGAAATGATACCATAACGGATTCTAAACACAAAGTCACCAAACCATGTCGTCAACAATTAAAAGCACAATTGTTACAACAACGAGAATATATTGAGTTAGATCCTGTTTTAAAATCAGCATGCCAAGATGACATTTCAAAGCATTGTTCTGGTCTAGAATCAGGTTCAGCACAGGTAAAATTATTAATATTAAACCTTACAATGTGGGTTTGCTTAGGTCACTGATGAATTTCAATTAACTATCAATATATTAAGTTATTTTTTTATAAACATTTGAACACTTTGTGAGTGTGTATGATACGCAGTAGATAATTTGCAAAATTTGATACCAATATGTTGGATTTGATTCCTACACACTATGAAACATATGTTGACCGTCTCCACCTCACACAAGCTCTGCTTACTTTAATTTTGAAAGGACGTTAAAATATCACAAATAATTTATTTAAATGTAAAATGTGTAAACCATTAAAAAACTGTTTATATTTATTCTAGAGCTTTTGATAACAGTCATGTTTATGTTTGTTTTCTTAAATCTTAAATTAAAATTAAAAATGTACTAAAACTTTATTTTTTTTCTAATTTAGATTTTAGTCTGTCTTGAAATGAACAAAAGTTTACTCTCAGAACAATGTCATCGAGTCATTTTCCTAATTCAGAGACAAGATTTGACTGATAGCTCATCAGATTATGTATTATTGACCAAATGTCATAAAATGCTTCAACTATTTTGTAAAGGAGAAAATACTTCAAAAGCATTAAGCTGTTTGAAGGTATTTTTCTATTTGTAGATGAATTGTATTTTGTCTCTCTCTATAATTAATAAATATTTATGATTTTAGAAATTCAAACACGATTCTACATTTGAAAAGCCTTGTCAGTCTCTTGTAGTGCAACGTATGATTGAACAAAGCGATGACTATAGGCTAGACCCTGCTTTACATCATAGCTGTCAAGCAGATATCACAAAGTATTGTAGCCAAATTCTAGTTAAACAAAGACCTGAATCTGAGTACAACGGAAGAGTTGTACATTGTTTGAAGGTAAAATATTATAATTGGCCAACTATTAGGACAACCATCTAAGTGATAATAAAAAAAATTAAAACTGATTGTAGGAAAAATTTCGACAAAGAAAACTAAAACCAGAATGTGAAAAACAAGTATCTGTCATTCTTCGAGAAGAAGCTCTGAATTATAAATTAAATCCACTGTTGAAAAGTCTCTGCGTACATGAGGTCTTTATAAATTATACTATTTCTAACACAAATTTTAAATTTCAGTGTAATAACACTGGTATTTATAATTTGATAATAATAAAATAAAATTATATAATGGAGTACTTGGTATTTGAATTATTATTATTATATTTTTTTATTTGTTGTAGATTCAACATATTTGTCGTATAGAAGAAACAAATGAAGTCAATGGAGGTTTAGAAAATTCTGGACAAGTTGAAGAATGTCTAAAGAAAGCGTTAAACCGTGGATTGATTGAAAACCGTGCATGTCGATTAGAAGTAGCAGGTTTAATAGAAGAATCAAAAGCAGATATAAATGTTGATCCGTTGTTACAACGGGCTTGTCTTTTGGACATTGCAAAATTCTGTGAAGACATTCCACAGGGTGCAGGAAGACGTATGTTTTTTAAACAACTATTTGTTATATTTTATAAATAGTAATAATTATATTTTTAACAAATATATATTTCATTACCCCAGATTTGCAATGTCTTCAAGCTGTCGCTCAGTCCAAAAGTAATAAGCTACAAATTAAATGTCAAGAAATGCTTCAGCAACGAATGGAGATGTTTAAAAATGCTGACGCTGTGGTAAGATTTTGATTTGAAGTTATTAATAACTTGCTAATCATTTCTCTTCTTAAAAAAAAAACTTGTGAGGGTGGTCACTAAGCACGTTAGAAGTGGAACTTCAAAAAAAGAGGAATAGAAAATTTGTAGACTAAATAAAAAAATTGCATGTTATAGTTAGTTAAATTATCAAACATTTTACTTTCTTTTAAATTTAGGTTGTGTGGGTTTAAACAGATTTTGTTGTGCATTTGTTAAACAATACTAATTTCAATCACTAGTGATCATTTTTTTTATTCATATCTAGGACCTACTGCTTGTATTTTATTGCTTTATACACTACGTACAACACAGTTTAATAAAATATCTGTTTCTGAAAATTTAACCCGATAAACAAGTTTCACTTCAAAAACATTAATTATTTCTATAGATATATCCTGAAAGCTTGCAACAATTGTACGGTCAAGTTAAGAAATCTCCATCAAAAAAATACTTGATTTTGACCTTGTTCACATTTGTGGGACTGATATTTATGGTCGGTCTGTTTTGTGGTCGTGTTAGCAGTCATCGAAGCGCTATCTCTAAAAAGAAATAATTGGTGTGTAATTATCAGCCAAAGCTGAAGAATTAAATTCGTAGCTGTTGATCGAGTTAATTTATGGAGTTAAATGTACCTACCTACCTTTAATTTATTTTTATTTTTTATTTATCAACTATGATATTATGTGCATATTCACTACCTTTTTAAGTGTATTATTGTTAACTATTAAGTGAGTAATAATTTTAAAGTAAACATACAAAATATAAATATAAACAAAAACTGTGTAGTCTTTATGTATTATTGATTATTTTTTTATATTCATTTTTAACAGTTGACAAATGTGTATAAACTTGTATTTAGCAATTTAAACAAATTTAATGACTTCTTAGATTGATCTCTATTTTTTTTTTACAAGCATCGAATATATTATTATAAACTATTTAAAATCTTTATAATTGGTTGCCTGTTTTAGTTAACATATTTTTTTTTACTTTTATAACCAACTATTTTGGTTACAACTTCTTGATATCGTTTTTAATTCTCATTACTTCTGCTTAAAATTGAGATACTTATAATTTTACTTATGTTTTTATAAATAAAAAATACTTTTTCAGAAGCTTCTATATCTATGCTATAGATTCAAATCGTTGTGTGTTTAAGTAATTGAAAAAATAGTCATAATGTAGTATATTTTGTGAATTTCTTAGTATCGATAGCATATTATGTACTTGTTTACTACTTAAGCGGCCTTACGATTAAGATTATGTGTATCAATCCATCCTTTTTTTTTATGTCATTACTTTAAAAATATTAATATCTAGAAAATTCAAATCTAAAATACTTGTGTGAAAATATGATTTTGATTATTTTATAAAATGTTTTTAAAAACTATATTCTACTATAAACATATTAACATAAATAAAAATAAACAAATTGAGCTTTAATGTTTTTATTTGTATTAGTAATGCATCACTATTATAAATAAATATTTGTAAAAATAAAAATTGTGATTAACGATCGACTTTTTTTTGTTAATTTACTAATTACATGTTATTTTTATTAGTTGTGACTAATTGTTTGTAATGCATACCTTTATGCTTGTAGTTTGTACTCTGCATTCTGTTTTATACTGATTGAGATTTAAAACGTTCCATATTCGGTTTTTTATTAGGAACAAGACCATAAATATTAAAATTGAACAATCAGCTGTTCCATAATTTGTTAGTTTATTTCCTTACTTATCATAATCTGACCAAACATTTTTTGACCGGGGTGAGTTTCCTCGCTGTATAGTCGATGTAATAAGTAATTAAACTAGGTTTTTATGCCAAGAAATTAAACTTTGATTTTAGGTTATTTTTAGATTGCTTATAGTTTTTAAGATTCTCTCTCTTACGTTTAACGTCCGTTATTTCCATTGATCGGGGCTAGAACGGTTTAGATTTAAAATTTTGGGCTTATAGCTGGCTTCCTACCTAACGCTATCAAACAGGTTGGCACCAGAGAAAGGGGCAGGGCACTTTCTTCCCCTTAGACAGTTGTCTGCCCATTGATACACTGCCGCCTAATCTCACTCCGCTACGCGCCTACACCTCGTAGTTCTAAAGATAAAACCACGCTTACAACCACTAGATAACTGCGACTTTCTAAAACAAATTTTCAATAATACTTTTTAATGTTTAATTATTACTTGGCAGGTGTGTTCAGTATCAATGCACGTAAAGCTAAAAAGGTATCGGGTTTGAGATTGATGTGTTCTAATTTATGTCTAGAACAACGACAACATTTTAACCATAAAACCGATTTTTTTATGTTTGTAATTCAAATATCATTCCCAAAAGGTAGTCAAAAGTTGAAAAAATTCACTCTTACCTCTTTATAATCGAGAAAAACGGCCAACAATTTTTAAATATAATTTTTTTTAAATAAAACTTGTGTTTTCCAATGTACAAATAAAAGAAAATGCACCTAATCGGGTAATTCAATGTTGAAAATCTTAAAAAAAATCACTCAACATTTTTTTAATCTATAAACGAGTTCTATATTCTATGAATAAATTTAGTTTTTTCATAGACAATCAATTTATTAGATCTCAGCTTCTACTATGTAATATTATAATAAATCTCATACACATTAAAAAAAAAAAATACATAAATCAGAAAGACGTATTATCTACAGGAAATACGAGTAAAACAATAGTTTCCTTAAAATAATTACAAAACTATTGGTTTAAAATAGCAACATCGTTAACACGTTAAAATTCCAAACAACTATTTAACATAATATAATATTCATATTCATATTTTTTAAATCTAAAGTACGAATGTTTGTAATACTCATATAATTTGCGTCCATAATCACTAAATCAATTACCTAATTTACTTGAAACACATTTATTTTATACAACTATTTTGCTATCGTTAATCGCCTAAATATTTTTGTAATTATTATTCAATGGTTTCAATTATTTAAAAAAAAAATTAAAATAAATGTTTGTGTCGTTCACATATATATTTTAATAATTAATACTAGACCATCCTTCTAAAAAAATTTGCTTATAGAACAATAGATAGTGAACCAACATTTTGTATAGGTACCTATTGTACAATCAACGCTCAACCTCGTAATGATATACGTCACTGAATTTCTATTGACTTGAGACTGAAAAAGTATTGTTGTTGTTTAATTGTCTCGGCTAAACGATATTTTATAATGTTACTCAAACGCTAGGTTAACTCTATCTACATAATAATGTATGTAATATATGCTATTATCGTTATAATATGTTTGTTATAATTATTATTAGTGTGTACAATCTTCCATCGCCGTGTGCGATTTATGTAGCCAAGTCTATCTCACATTAAAGCCGAACCCAAGCAAATATGGCTCTATTGTCGCCTATACTTAGCGCATTGAATAAAACCCGTAATTTATAATCAAATGCAAAAAAGAAGTACATTTAAATGGAAAACCGTTTCGGTTAACATAAAATGATATTATAATACGAACAAAGGCAGTGATTACATTCATCAATGTCGCTAGACTACATAATAATAATAATAATTAAAATACAGTATAAGTAATAGTTGAACCTAAATACGAAATTAGAGTAGGTAGTAAGCGTCAACATTTTTAGGCTAGAGTATATTATGTATAAAAAACTTATTTTCCATCTAAAAAAACAAATCTCAAAATCTTGGACACGATTCGAAATTTGTAAGGACTCTGCGGTTTTACAGGACTACTCTTTCTCGAGTACACGTTATTATTACTTTTTTTTTATTAACGTTTACTAAAACAAATGCTGTGGCAAAATATTTAATAATAAAGATTCTGTGTCTCAGAAAAAAATACTGACAACAATAAGCGAGGGTTTTTTTTTTTAATTTTGTGAGGGTGTTTCACTGGTTGACTGCATGTTTTTTTAAGCGTGTATTCGCTGCGGGCTTTAATCGATCATCAACTCGAAATGGACCGATCCCTCACGGTTTTGGAGACTGCGCTTGAAAATGATGTTTTTGGCCCATGCACGGCATTCGACGTTGATCAGAGTGTGTTCTATGTAAAAAAAGACAGGAACGATTAATAATGACATGTCTCTCGTCGAAATACAGCAAAACCGGTTCGTTACTTTTTGGATTTATGAAGTGTACGGCTATTAGCGGGCTGAGGTAGTCTTGCTTGTTCCTGTAGGGGTAGTAATAGCCCGGGAAACCTTCTTGCGGATACATCTTGATTGGTCCTATGTTTTCCTTGTCGTTCGGCGTCTCTCCGGAACAAGTCACCCATACAGTATTGAGCTGCAAGCATAATAGACGTAACGATTATCTTAAAAGTATCTCAGCGTGTAAACGAGACGTTTAAGAAGCTACGGAGGGTTAAGCACACAGTTTTCCTAAATTCCAATTGCTGTTTACATGCATCCCTGATCACTTGTCGTTTAGACGCCTCGTTTACGTTATTACATATTAGTTATTAATTTTTAATCTAGGATAAATTATTACCACAGGGCTCATCTCGTTTCTCAATTTCGTTTTGATTATATCTTTGAGTTCTTTGGGCATATCGGCGGGGAGGTCTGAGAAGTTACTGTAGAATTCGGGTTCCCAGTCGAAAATCTAAATTACGAAAAAACGGTACACGGTCAGTGATGGTTCAATATATTTACCTAGTTCCCGACTGAACTCACTTTGTTGAGCTTGATGAAGACGCATGGTTGACCCTTGTGGAATTGATATTTCTGTTCGGTTGTGCAAGGTCCCATGTTGGCCAGAGTGACATCGCAAACTTTGCCGTTTTGAGGTGGATTGGTGTAGCTGCAACCCGACTGTTGGTTAGCACCTTTGTTTGGCAACAATGTTTTGTTTTTGTAAACTGCAAAAAAAAAAGTTGTTGAAAAATATCCAGTAATAACCACATCTACGTTATTCGATTAAAGCATATGAGTAGTATGTGCTTTAAACAATATATTCCACAGAATAAGAAAACCCATCCCGATATGGAACGTACTATTTTTTAATTATCCCAATGTATACCTGTATACCTAATGCCAATAATGTTTTCTATACAACTCCATAAAAAAAATATATTTATATATATAATAACAATTATTAAAAGTAATTTTACAAAATAATCAATTTGTTTATTTAGCACAATTAAAGAGTAAGAACGGAGATACACATATTCCTACTGTATTAGTACCTATTTATAAATTTATTATTTTAATTAGTAATGAAATTTAAAATGTACTTAATTACATTTGTATGTTAATATACGTACCGGATAGGAATTTGTCCAACGATTTGGTCCATGTTTCCACATTGGTTGCGTTGTTGGCTTCAAAGTAAATTAGCGAACCGTCTTCGACGTTTAGTGACATTGGGCGAAAACCTAAGCCTGTGGATGACAAGTTTGAAAGGACAATGATAAAAGATAATAAATTAGTTGTACTAGTTAAAAATGTTGGCATTGATCCAATGCACAACAAAGTACCATAAATATTATATTATTCAACCAGTAATAATTGTATGTCTAACTTACCGGGATTGGTGCCGATTATCGAGTTCGTGAGGGTGAAATGGGGAGTGTGGTCGTTCAAAGTGGACAGCAAAAGTTTCAAACAGATAGCGAACAGCATAGCCAGGGACGAGTAGAACACCAAATAGAAAAATAGGATTCCGGCTAAAACACAAAACATTATTCAAAATTATAAACCAGTCTTTAACTTGTGGTAGTCCTCACAATTCCTGACAAAAAAAAACTGCTACTCTTTGTGATCCATTTAACGTAAGACACTAATTTTCCCAGAAAATAACTACAATTGTGTAGTTATTTCTTTTTGAAAACATTTTTATTAATGTTATTTTACACCTTAAATACTCAGTATTTTCCAGAGCGCTATCAACCTAACAATTGTATTTTTAAAATAAGAATAATTTGGTGAACATTTTTACTGGTCGATAACCAGTTCTGAATAGTTACTTTAAGTGTTATTAAATTTTAAAAATTAGGACAGGAGGGAGGGTGGAGTGTAGTATTATTTTTATTTGAGCGCGTTATTGGTCAAACGAAAAAAGTTTATTCAATATATAGTTACCTGGTAGGTACATATTTAAGTTTCCAAAGTTGATCTGGAAAACACTAAAAAAGGTACTAATTCCATAATACTATAGTAAAACATAAATAAAAATGTTTTCAAAAACTAAAAAGAAAAATGACAAAATCGTAATTAAACCGGTCATTTTTAAAACAACATGTCGTTGTTTTTGAAATGACCGATTCAATTATTTTCAGAGAAAATGAGTATCCTGCGTTAAAATATGTATCACACAAGGATAAATAGGTGAGCTAACTGGGACAGGTGCCAGTTATATTTATTTATAAGCATTAGAACAAAACACACAGAACTGAATAATTATGCGAAAATTGTATGTTAAATATGTATTCTAAGTATTTAAAATAAATTATGACTGCTAAGTCGCGAGGAATGAACAAAATAAGTACACCAAAACGTGTTCCATTTAGTACTTATGAGTTATGGTCAATATGTACTCTGTAGAAAATGAAGGGCTACTATTGTTGTTGTTACAGGTTAAAGGTCGTAAATTTTTATTTTCTGGCGTCTTGTACTCAAAACATTGTACAAATAGCTGCCACGAGTTGGGGATAGTCGAAGCGAAACCATTAGCTACTGCCCAAGTTGTTACCCACATGTAATTTACGATCAATAAACATTTTTATTGTAGTAAACTGCTGCGGTTATAATCGACTTGCAAGAATAAACAAACATACATACACTCATTTGTAAGTGTACAATGTTGTAACGTACATAAAGATTTATAGTAAAATCTGATATAATAATAGTTTTTTTCGACACATAATTTGATTAACAATAATAATTAAAGTATCTATATAATTAAATAACGAACAAAGTGTAACAATAACAATCGCTGATTAAATGATTGTATTGTTTTCATATCGAAAGTAATTAAAAACTTATTTTATTAAATAATTGCAACTTGCATTTAACCGTATCGGTCGTCAGTAAAGCTTGAAACATTTACATCAAACAATAACGTAGGTACTCGCTTTTAAATATTATTACAATATATTAATGCTGCGTTGTATAAAATATAATTTTAATAATATTTGTGTGTGTGTGATCGAGAAGCCATGTACCGTATACCGGATGGAACGTAAAGGGAACGTTCCCCTTAGTACTGTGATTAGGGAAGGAAATGCACGGGAGAAAGGTGAAGTTACAGCCGCCGCAATGTACACCGAAAACAATCAATACTTTTCCACCACATTGAGCGGAATGGGAAAACTTTGTACGGCGCTAGTCCTCTCGCTTACTTCTTTCGCTATTCGAATGAACTCATCTTGGAAAACCCGATTTCAAAACGGATAACGGGATAATTTATTTCAGATATTATATATACATATTATCTATATTATTATTGTATAATATTTATAAATTGTTAAAATGTTTATACTCGCATTTGCTGTACGAGTAGAAAAGTAAAATACACACTTTTGCACTTGTGTACAACGTCAGTTGAGTAAAACGCAAGTCATTAAAACCGTCAAAAGAACGTTCGAAACGGTCATAAGGAAGTGACATAGAATGATAATAATTATAATAATTAAAAAGGGCGGAGGGACTGCTTGACGCGTTCTAAACATAGAAATCGTTTCGGTCTTCTTGTACACGAAAAGAAAAAAATACAATCGTAGTAAGACTGCTGGCGTTGCCGTCTCAATCTGTGTGTGCATGTGAGCGAGTGACTGTTTTCTTCTATTCTTAGCTAGTTGGCAACGGCATTATGCGTAAAACGCACCGAATCCGAGACCCTCGCTTTGCCACTCGACAACCGCTGGAACTGAACCGTTGGAAAAATATATAATTAAAAAATACTCGGTCAGCCGTTTTTACACCCGCATAATGCCTAACCAACTGAAAAACGTGGTCGAATTCAACCGCAGACGACTGTTCACTTCGTCAGTGGACAGAGTAGGGGTAAAATGTATATAGAAGCTTAAAAATTACACTGACCGATGGCTGTAAAAAGTATTTTAAGAAAAAAAATGTTGACAAAACATTGTCAACCCGTTTAAAAATGTTTGAAAAATACATTTTTTTTAATTCAGTGACTCGATGTTTATGAATAAATAATACAGTACCGAAAAAAATATTATGTTTAAAATGTAGTATATTTTTAAAACTGTTTATGCACACGTGCTTTTGTTTAAACATTGGTATTCGCGATGTTTTTGAAAAATAAATTTTATACTTTGCCGTCTGGGTAATAAAGATATACCTACTTTAAACCTTCAATTTTGTAAATAATATTATTTTAATATATTCCTATTATTAGTTATTTCTGACTAAATTGCATGACCATTATTGTAGTGCATAACCTATTGAAACGTTTTAAAATATGTAATTACTAATTACCCTAGAAGTACCTATTTTAACTATTTTTTTTTATCCATGTTATTGGAAATATTTTAAAAATAAAAAAAATTATCGTTCATGGAACATAATATTTATTTATTTTTCCGAAAAACCCGTTTTAGAAATGGAATCATTTTCTAAATCGACGAGTGAGATATATTCCCAAGAGTTTTTGGACCGAATCGGTTTGTAGAGAACCCTACCCTGTCGGCCGATCGCCGATCCGAACGTTATCCCACCGTGTCACTGGGTCAACGCTTACAACGAACGACTAACGTTCAGATGGCGTGTAAAACCGAGCTTTAAAACAAACTCAAGTGCTATGAAGATTTAAGCTTTCTATCGAACCGGACCAAACGTCAAGGCTATGGTTATTCGCGTTAACCGCATACAGTGTTTATTATATTGTATGGAACTCAATTCGTGATTGTCACTCGTAGGTACAGACCGCCCCTACTCTTGGCTAGGTACTCGTCGCGACTCGCGGCGCAACCCTCTCGTTGTATACAAGTCAGCTGACGGCTTTACCCTTGGTAACAACTTTAATAGTAGGCACAATGCGTGTAAATGTGATTATTACAATACAATTTATATTGTAATTATTGGCAGCAACGACCGCGGACTAGGCACCCCTTATGCGTATATACATAAACGGTGAACTTATTTAATTAATCGCGGCCATTGTGTTACGACGCAACGGAGGCCGCTTTAAAGTCAATATAGGTAATCTATATAGACTGAGAAACAGTAGTGTAATTTCACAAAAAAATGTCTGGAGTATTCAAGCTTTAAGCGAAAAAAAATATTTACGAAGGTGATTTATCAATTATTATACAAGCTTACATTTGTGTAGAATTTATATATTTTAGCCGTGCCAAAAACTAAGGAAATAAGGATTAGAAGAAAAATATTATTGAAACAAACTTTGAATACCCTTCCCAAATGATGACTCTTCTCGAATGATAAACCTTATGTAAGCAATAGCGATTATGAACTTTTTATATTTACAGTTCTGCGGAAACGGGAAACGGAAAGGCGACTAGCCTTGTTAAGTACATGCTTCATCTATAACTATAGTCTATACTATATGTACTCAGTACTAAAATTACAATATAATCGTAGTGTACACACCCCAGCTCCTCGCCGATCGACCCAGAAACTCGTGCGAGTTAGGGTTGTAGATGCCATTAATGATCTTCTGCCATACCGTCCGGTCGTCCTTTACTTTAGCGTATTCCCATTCGTATCCGATGCCGTTGGTGTCGGTCGTGTGCTTCACCATGGTGGCAGCGGTCGCCCTAACGAGGTTTCCGTAAGTTCCGCGGCTGCCCGACGACGAGAACGGGGCTGCACCGGTTGATGCGGACTCGACCGCCGGTAAGTGGCTGTCGTCGGAGACGGTACTGCGATACTGTTATAGATTATTGGTGTCGGGACGCCGCCTCGCGTACACTCGAAATGAGGTACTGCGACTATTGAAAATGAAGCACGTCAATCGGGCGATACACTAGTACAGCCGTACGACGTGCAGCGGATACTGCGAAACGGCGCGGTTACGTTGTGTGTGTGTGTGTGGAGGGCTGGAAAACGCCCGATCGATGGCCAACTCGCAATAGACGGGCGTTCGCGCTCAGTGTCCCGATCACGCGAGGCCAGTCGGGTGCGGGGTCGGCCTGGGTCGCGCCGGCGCGCCCGGAAATACGCCTCCACCCACCCATGAAAATCGTGCTACCAGCTACGCACTTGACGGTGGCTGGTGGCCGCTCGTCGCTCGCAGTGTGGCCCTGAATAGCGCATCGCTGAACCACAGTACACGTTAACCCATTAAACTCAAAACTATACAACCCGTTTACTGTATTTACACTGTTTAGTTTACTGACCGCACTTACAGTAACGGACTATGAAAAAAACAGCCCGAAAAAAAAGTTCATGAACCCAAAATACCTGAACACAACCAATTATTTCTTTTTTTTTTAAATTAAAATTATAAACATTTAAAACTTGTTTTTATGGTACTATTGAATTATTGGCAACACTAGTGCTAAGTGCCAAGTGGTCGTCATACAGGGATGGTCAACATAATCTGAAACATTTTTATTTTTTCAGTATCTACCTACATAATAATATATTGTATCTGTTTCTCACAATAGTAAATACTCGTATTGTAAAATATGTTGTATTTATATTGATACTATGATTTTAAATTGTTATTATATCTTATTGATAGTTTTTTTTATATTATAACCGAAATTACATTAACTTAATAATTGAATATGTAATACAAAATCAAATAAAGGTTTATACTTTGAACTACAAAAAACTTAGTGGATTATCCCGAGAATCGTTTCAAACGTTTTAAAAATTTCAATATTTTTTAATGTAATATATATATATATATATATTATATATATACAGGATAGCCCACAATGATTTGGCAAATGAAATAACTTTTGTTCTAGTGAATATTTTTAAGATTTTTTTTTAAAAATAATTTATACTAATTTGTGCTATAAGCATCATTATTTTGTTTGGTTTTTATTGCAATTTGCACTTACCTGTTTTACTTTTTCAAATTTTTTTTGTGTAAGCGCGTAGAACTATTTTTATCTGCTTGCATTAATCTACTGCACTCCACCTCCCATCCTACCCTTTAACCTTAAATAACTTAAAAAGTAATTATCCAAATCTGGTTATCGACCAGTCAAAATTTTCAACAAATTATTCTTAACAAAATGGTTATCTTTAATTTCTAAAAAAAAAAAAAGGTAAAAAAAATAATTTGAAAAAGTAAAACGGTTAGTGCTATAAAAACCGTGGTGCTTTAGCGCAAACGAGAATAAATTATTTAAAAAAAAAATCTTAAAAATATTCACTAGAACAAAAGTTATTTCATTTGTCAAATCATTGTGGGCCACTCTGTATACTATATACCATATACTTAAATGTTTTACAAAATTTTTAAAAAATTGTAATTTTTTTAAGAGGACATTAAACCCCCTATTATTAAGGAACTAGGCATAGGCCATTTTTTGTTTGTGTAATTATAAGTTAAATGATTAGGACTGATTTTTGGTAGGTAATTAATTAATTTTTTGAACTATCGCAGAATCATTGACATATTAAAAACGATTTAAAAACAAAAAAATGTTCATCTACACATAGCTATGCAGAATGCATTTTACTTGGTCCATATAGTGGTTTTGGAGCAAAAAACCTACTAATACTTATATCGTATTATACAATCAAAAGACAGCAATATTTTGAAGACAATGTTTTATGTGATTTTAAATTTAATAAAGTAAAAAAAGTGATAGTAATTAAAAAAAAGTAAAAAATGTGATTTTAAATGTTAAATATTAAGATTTTTTAAAAAAGGATACTGCAAACGACATCAATCCAAAATATTGTTATCTTTCGTTTTTGTTATAAGTATTTATTTTTTAAATTATGTAGCGAGTAAAATGCATTATGCGGATGTTTTAAGGCTAGAACATTTGTCGTATAAACGTCCTCTTAATACTTACATTTTTTAGGGAAATCGCATAATTTTGAGCAATTTTTAAGACAATTTTTTTTTAAAATTAAGAGTTTATAAGTCTTTAGAACACAAATATGGTAAGTTAAGTTTTTGGGTACTTAAAGAATAACTTGTGTGTAACAGCTGTAACTCGTAAAAATATCGTTATTAATTATTCTGTTCCATTTAAATTATAATAGGTATCAACAAATAAATTAGCTTACAATATATTTCTAATTATTGTTTTAAATAAAAATAATCAAACAAAAACCTAACAGTTAAAATCGCCATAAACCGCCAATAAATCGCCATAATCCGCTAAACAGCGCCAATAAATCGCCATAAATTGCCAATAAATCGCCAATAAATCGCCATAAACCGCCAAAAAATCGCCATAAATCGCCTAAATAAATATTATTTTTAAGTTAGGTATATTAAGCAAAGTCAATATATCTTGTCAACACATTACATAGGTGTAAGGTGGTACATTAAATTTTAAGTACATTATTGCTGGTCCCACGATATCATCTAAACCACTATAACTATGAATGTGTTAAAACTTTTGCGGATTGAAATATCACATAACTATAACTAATTTGAACATACTATCCACAGATTCGCATCGAAGTGTTTATTTAAAAGTGATTTTATCACTTTCAGTTATAATAAAATCTGTAGACTTGTGACCTCTCCGTCCCCACTATGCCCCGACCCCACTGAACTGGCTTTTTTTTGGTTTGTTAATGTTTATCAATAGTACTATGTTTGAAGAACAGTTCATATAAATTTGGAACATTTTCGAGATAGGGGTGAGTGATAGGGACGGGAGATAGTGGGTAGGGGAGAGGGGTAAGATATAGTAGATAAGAGATATGTTGTACGTTCAACGTTCAAATTAGAACTAAATAATAAATTCAAAAGGAAACACGACAAAAGGTCGCCCGACAAAACGCCGCCGGACAAAAAATCGACAAAACGTCGCCGGACAAATCGCCGCATTTAAAAAAACCGCCTCTCAGTAATGCCAACACTAACAATACTTGTATATAATATACGATTATTAATGGTGTTAGTTGTGCTGCCAGCATGACATATTATTAAGGAGTAATTATTTCACATTTTATTCGTTTTTATTCATTAATGAGCTAACGACTCAAACGAGGCTGTTTTTAAAAAATATTTCCAGATGGCATTTTGAAAGTCGGATAAGAAGTCCGAATGTATATTTTTCACCACAAAAAAAAACGATATTTTATTATCTCTAGAAAACTGTTTACCTATTATTGAACTGTTATCTTTGTTTATTTTATAAATGCATGTAGGTATTACCTATATATTTTTAGTACTTATTGCAAAGTGTATAGGTGTAAAATGGTGTTATTGTTTTAAAGGAAGGCAAAACAATTATACACAATAATTATTCGTATACCAAACAACACATACTAGTACATTCCATTCGATGGAAATGTTCACAAAAAAGTTTAAAAAAATAACATCCATCAATAAACGTAAAAAATCAAAAAAACTTATACATAAACATGTATAAAGGTAAATTTTTACTTTTATTAATAACAGTTAACTGGTTCATTCATTGACTTCAATATATAGATGATAAAACACAGGGCAAAACCGCACACTTTTTAAAATTGCTGTATTCAAAAACCGCACATTTTATAATGACGTATAAACTATTATTTATATATATATTCAAAAAACATTTTTTTGGTACAATTTATATGTTGAAAAATTTAAGATATAAAATTTTAATTTTATTTGCTGAAATCATTTCTAACGTTTTAAAGAAATTTCAAACGATCCCCGTCCTTAAAAAATTCTTCCCAACATTTAAACAAGTGTTCCTAAAAATGAACCCAATTTCATTCAAAATGATGTATTAAAAATATTAAAATGTGCCTATTAACTAACTTGTTTTTCAATTGGACGGACAATATTTGGAATACTCTCATTAAGCTTACGTCATTACTTCCTATTATCGTAATATTTTCTATGGATGACATCTCTCAGCGTATTTTTTTTTTGCGGTGTCTCTTGAATGTCATTAGAAGCCTTGCGTTTACAATTCATTTATTACGTACCTCTTGTACCTCTTTTTACCCAATATAAGTGTGCGGTATTTACCTGGCACCGGTACTTACCTGGAAACCGATGAAATGTGCGGTTTTTGGCTGTAACCGGTTCATTCAACCCCTGTTATATTGTATCTATTTTATCTTATTATTCAGATTTACCATATTATATTTCTCATTGTTAATTAGATATTTGTCCATATTGTTTAAAAGAATTAAAATAAAAAAAGACTATAATGGCAGGTAGAAAAATAACAGTCGAGTTGCCGCGCCGGTTGAATTAACTACCTGCCAAATATACCTTCTTAGGGACGAAAGTATACGCATCCCTGTCTTACTTCGTATATTTGTTATTTGTTATTAGTATTAAGCAAAATTATATTATTATTTATTAAAAAATGGTCTTAACAATAGCGGTTCTAAAAAAAAATATGAAATAACATTTAACCATTTTTTGTATCCATTGCATTTTTTTTATAAATATATCCATTTAAAAGTATACTTATTTTTTCGTATATATAATAAAAGTTTTAAAATTTAAACATAAAAACATTGAGAAAATTAAAAAGTATGGGAAAAAAAATTACTTATTAGTTCATGTGCGTATACATTTTGTTTTTGTAAAGCCAGTCGGCCGAATGGACTTGGTAACAATGACCTCGCTACACCCCTGGCTAAAAATTAAGTTAATTTGTTGTGTGTGAATTTTATTCACAATTGTATTTTGTTTAGTTAACTGTTTGTTGCACCGGTGAGGCAATTCTAGTTTAAGTACTAATGATAACCGAAAAAGAAACTTTTTAAAATTATTAAAGTTTTCAAATTAATAATCAACATTATACACACTGCACACATTACACATTCGACACTACCGTAACTCTTTGGTATTACTAGGCAACCCCATTCATCCCTTATGAGCTACTATATACACCATTACATTTCCTTTGCTTTGCAGCGTAATCGTTAAAGCTGATAGAATTAAATTCCGATAGTAAATATACAGTATTACAGTGGATATAAAAATAATATAATATATTTTATTTATTTTGTAAAATATTTCAAGATTATCCTATTATACAAAGAAGTATTTTATTAGTGTAAAAACCTCATTCAACTAAAACTCTATAAAATTGATTTACTTTTTTTAATGTAATGTAAAATGGCTTAAATTTATACTAGAAGCGTTATTTATACCACTGAAATACCAGGAATTAGTTATAGTTGTAGTTAATATATGTTTATAGTGAGGGACAGAAGATTAAAAATATAACGTACGTACAAATATAAGATACGAAATATCTAATAATAGTATACAGAACCTGCACAAAAAGACCCAAACATTTTTGGTGTTTATTTGAATAAAAGTTATATACTATTGTTAGTTAGCGCGTAATTTTTTTTTTAAATTTCTATAGGTTAATTTTTGATTTGAAATTGAGCCCCCGAAAATATTTTTTTTAGTAATTGAGTTTTAAATATTCGGTTGTCAATAGGTGTTTGGTACACTCTGTATATTATACCATCTTCATAACCAAAACAGAAAATAAAAGCCACCACCGGCACCAGAGCATACGGACAGACGGAAGGGCGAGGAGTGGCTACGGGTGTTCGCAAATTGTTTTGACTAGAACAATAATAAATCTCCAAAAATTCGTCGGTAACCGATGCGAATTTTATACCTACATGTATTAGGATTTAATACCAAATCGTACACCATTAGACTTGTTTTATTAAATTATTTTAGTAATAAATATTTTTATACATTATTTTTGAACTATTATTTCAGATTATTAAAATTAAAGTCTATTTTCTTAATAAATTTAGAATTCGTTAATCGTACAGTTTTTTAAAAAGTATAAATACTTATATTCATTTATATTTTATAATAAAAACTAATAGGAAAGCATCAGAACAAGGTTATCTTACTTTAAGAACAGCACAATTCATAATACAAGTTTATAATTACATATTCTTATAATAATATCATGTGATAGTCAATGTTACTAGCCTTAGTAAACGGTCAATTAATGTATGTAATCTGATATTAAAAAACAGTCATCACCTGTTGTATAGGCCATAAGCTTAAGAGCCAACATATAGCTTATATTATACTATAATAAAACATACCCAGTATAAAATGATTTATCAGTTTTTTCAACCCACTATAATATATTTTAATTAATAAACATTTTATTCATATACCCAATTATTTGTGTTATGTCGAGTAAAATATTTATCAAATTTTTATTTTTCAATTTACGCATTTTAGCAACACAATTAATTTTGTATTGTCGGTTTGCTTAACATAATATACACACGTATTATTTGTACGTATAATTTTATCGTCTAAGCTATTCATATTGCAATCTAAACAAATTAGTAGTAGGTATATTACTATAAAGTGTAGGTATGTAATATTAATTAACGTGTTAAATGTTTTATCAAGTGTATAAATAATGTGTCAGTTTATTAAAAATTCTTGATAGTAGTGAAAAAATATATATGACCAAATGATACCAAATGATGATTGTATTAAACCAAACGCGATTTGTTTTTAAATGGTTGCATTTTCTTATCAAGTGTAGTAAAATATGTCTGGTTTATGATAGATTAAGTCAAAATAAGTATTAATAAGTAAACATTTGGAAATATAATCATAATTTGTTTTAGCTGTTATTATAAATTTTCAACTTTATATATATTTTGTTTAAAAATAAAAAAGGGAATTATCTAAGGGGTTAATTCGATCATCCTTTAACGTTTCGGACAACACACATGACTCTTTAAATGTGATGTTTTCGTCTTAAAACGATTTCAGCGCCACTGCATTTCAACGTGTATTCTTTTTTCAATAGAGAATTGAAATATTATAGCCGTCGTTTAATTGTTATTAACTTTTCGGTCCACAGTCTTTGTGGTTCTGCGAAGACAACAGATGAGACATACTGGAAATTCGAATTTCCAGCCCGCGCGCTATGCTTTAATAGTTGTTATTATTCACATAAGACTTACCGTTTTTGTATACTCAAATAAATAAAAAAAACAAAAAGTCTGGTAGAAGTTGCGAGCACGGATTAATTTAGTTCTTCAGTTTATTTTAATTAAAAATCGTCTATAACAAATACATCAGATTAAAAATATATTGGTATACCTAAAGTATAAAACTAATTTTTCAGTTTTTGCGCTTAGATCGTTTGACAAGTTAACTCTCAACACTGAGCGTGAAATAATATTGTTAATAATAATGTGTAGTTAACATTCAATACCTTACGTGAGGTACATAATAATATTATATATTTATATAAAAGGTAAATTATCAACCCATTGTATCTGTGATCCACAGTGTGATATAATATTATGAAACGTTGGCGAACTAGTCAAGACATCCAAGTGGGAGTAACCTTAAGCCATGTAAATAGTGTAAATATAATGTACCTCACTCAAGCTTCAATAATTTTTTAGTATTAATGTTGACAAGTGTTTTTGTTTTGTTTCATTATTTACATGTACACATTTTGCGTTCTTTTACTTGTCACAACTAAGTAGACGACGGTGACGACGGTGACGATGATGAGGTTGATAACATTTATCTTTAACTCATTTGGCACACTTAGTGCAAGTAGTTTTCAGGCTATTGATTAAATTTGATAAAGAGTGTTCATTTACACGAAATCTGCATACTATTATTTTACTCTACTGTATTACAAATTGGTTCGTTCGTTGTAAAAGTGGTGTAGCTCCAAAAAAGAAAAAAAAGTTTAAGTTAATTTATTGCATTAGTTTTGGTTTCATTTTCCAAGTCACTATAAATTTGTAGAACCTTTGGTTTGTAATAAACATTAAAAGTAGGTACAAGTATTAGTTCAGTGTTTTCTATTTTTTTTTTTTTTTTGCTATACATTAATTTTCAAAAAGCTCGTTGTTTCAAAATTCAATTACAAAGAGATAATTCACTTTTACAATGAATGACACAAGAATTACTATTACAGTGAGAGATTTTTAGAGAACAAATCAATTGTTACATTTATTCAAACCTACTGTTTCGGATAATTGATTATCACTTTCATTTTTTGAAGCACAAACGGTAGCATATTCAGATATTCTGTATTTCTGTAAAACGTTTTTATGTTGCCTGAAAAATTATTTAAATACTGTCCAATCCAGTCAGCTTACCCTGAGACGTTTACGACCTTTTGCTTTTTTAGCGTCGATATGGAGTCATAGAGATATATGTTCAACGCTGTGGCGTGGTTACCGTGAATGCAGTGGAAAAAGCTGCCCAAGACGAATTCTAATTTAGGGAATTATACGTACGGTTTACCTGTACTACATTTTTAATTTAAAAATCAAATGTCACCTAAAATGTTTGTAACAGCACAGGTACATGCTATTAAGAATCGTCATTTAACTATAATAATAAATGTTTAAAAATTAATATGATCAAATCAGATGGATGATTACTATTTACTCCTTAATAATATGTCATGCTGGCAGCACAACTAGCACCATTAATAATCGTATATTGTATACACATATTGTTAGTGTTGGCATTACTGGGAGGCGGTCTCTTTAGGGGCGGCGTTTTGTCGATTTTTTGTCCGGCGACGTTTTGTCGGGCGACGTTTTGCGGTGTAACCATTCAAAATAGTTTAATTCTCTATGTTAAGTTACTTTTGGCTAGATAATAAACACTACAATTTTAGCCAGAAACTTGATTGTACATAATTTTTTAATCTCCTTGGCCTTATGCTGTAACTGGAAGCTCCATATAATTTTTTTTTTTAAATTATAATTTATTCTAAATTTATTCGGTACTTCAACGAGACATGAAAATGCTCTTTCGTGGTTGCAGACTCGGCTGAAAAACTTTTTGGCTTGATAAAGTACTTTCTAGGTATGATTTCTGATCTATAGAGTTGCCACACAAAGAAATCAGTTCAGCGGTTTACGAGATATCGTGGGTCCAGACACAAAAAAAAAAAATAATAAATAAAAACACATCATTGTAAAAACAATACCTTCTCAGCTCCGCATCGAAGCTATAATGTAACAACAGTTATTTTTTTATCCGAGTAACAGCCTGTTATTGCTACTCGAGTGATAACTGTTATAAATCACAGTTACTGTTATTTTCCCCCATCACTAATCGTAACTTTTTTGGGTTCTTGATGGGTACTTAACCGAATAAATACCTACTCCGTAATCCAGGTTTACCTAACAGTGCTTAGTATTTTCTTATACATTAGTTTTTAACAGTCTTTTAAACGTCACTGCCGTGGTATAAATATAGCTAGAATAATAAATAATATTTTTAAGTTAGGTATATTACGCAAAGTCAATATATTTTGCCAACACATTACATAGGTGTAAGGTGATACATTTAATTTGGCGCTCCCTAATAATTGCATACCACCTATAGAGCATTTTCCCGCTATAGCTGTTTATTATCCTGCTCTGACAGTATATGTATTCAAATGAATTAATCAAACATATTCATAAGTACTCAGGTCACGACTCACGGTATAGATAACAATTAACAATCAATAATATCTAAATACCTATTTGAGTTCTGCAGGCATTGGACATAAATTATAATTGTATACTCTGATACGTGTACAGGGCAGTTCTTCCAAAAAATGATAAGAGATAAGAGTTCTTCCAAAAGATAACACAATTTTTATTTTATCAGCGTGACCAACCCAGAAACACCAAAATATAAAATCACATTCTATCAGTCTGCCAATTCTATTAGAATAAAAGTAACTAAAATATAACTAACGTTTATCAGAGTTAACTGTTATCTCTAGAACTAAACGGCAATAATTCAAATGATAAAAAAAAATAACCGTGTTAAAATATATTATATTTTCTTAAATAGTACACATTTTTACGATACATTTATAATGACAAAAAACCAACTAGTTCATATGACGACAACGATAATTATTGGTAAATAAAATTTACTTTCGTTTCTTATTAATATTAAATGAATATTTTTATTAGAATTCTTTTTTAATTCATAATTCAAAACTCTTATTTTCACATAATATAAACTTGCAATATTTAATATGAATAACATAATATATTTATCAATTATAGTACCTAGCGACAAAGTTCATACATACACTATATTGTACTAATTTGTGTGACAATATTATTACATCCTATTTAAATAAAACTATTAATACAAGTAAATTATGTTTTACAGTATGATGGTAGTTGTCTGAAGTCATAAAAAGCTTATCGGTATGCTTATTCATTAGAGCGGTTCGATTCCTGAAACTATCTCTAGTCTGATTAAGTGTGGTAACAGGTATGGAGTTATTTTTTGTAAAATTGTTTTAATTGATTTAATCTCTATTATTTTAATAATTAACATTTCAACTTTTAACTTATTTATTAATAATATATCTTTCAGTTTTAAGATGAGTCAAAGATTCTGGTTGAACAGTTCTCCTTCGACACTAACTGGAAGAAATAATTGTTTTATCATTTGTCTAAATAGACTAGGTAAGGAAAACATTCTAGATTTGTAGTATTAATACAAATATTGATACAAAATTAGTTTAATATCAATCTAAAACACCCTAATATAGGGTATTTAAAAAAAAAGAAATCAAATGTAAATTATCTTTCTTTTTAATAATTTAATTTACTATTTTCTAACATTGTTAGTTTTTGTACAAGAAAAATTGCATTTACTTGTAGATCTTACGTTTCATTGGTATGAGATAACAAACTAGGTCCACTTGATATATACCGGTCACAAATATAGTCTATTCATGAAATCACTCTTCCAAGTGTTATTGATAGATAATTTAAGTTGAATGGTATAAAAAAATGTCATTATCAATTTTCGTTATATTTAATTTTAACTTCACAATTAACAAACGTTAACATTAGTAATTAATTTAAAATTGGTTTTATATTATAATTATTATTAATATTATTTAACCATTTGTTGTTTTTTCAGCTAGAATGTGATCAGAGGAAGATTAAATGGACATATCATGTATTTCTCCATGGACACTGTAATCCATGATGGATTTTTGACACTATATTTGAATATTTGTTGTTGAAGTTAATTGGATTTTGTGCAAAACCCCTGGAAGAATATTCTGTATCAGACTAACAGTATAAACGCCACCCAGTATTTCAGTTTACCTGCTGTTAAACATCGTAGTATCATCTCCAATCTCTTTATATTTTGTTTAATTTTATTTAAAAAAGTCTCATTATAATTTATTATTAATCAACTGTAATTCAGTTGTTTATTTATTGAATAACTTATTATCCTGTCTTCAACGTCCATATAAACTGTACTGTATTTATGACCACTACACTGATATCTCATTTGGCTAAATACTTTTAATTTTTAACTACATTAAAACAAAATTAAGATTGTTTAAATTTTTTTTTTTTTGAATACTTGTATTATTGTTTGAATATTTTTACACTTTAAGTGTCAATACAAGTATCTTTAGTTTAACGATACTAACAGTATATTACTATTACAATTTTGACAAACATAATTATTAGCCTACCAAATAAATTATAAATGTAGCTTCTGTATTTGCTTATTTATTAATATTTACTTACCTTAATAACATTAAAATATTAATTTATTGTAAAAATATCTTGACCTAACTGAAAGATTGAAAATTTGTAAACTGTAATGAAATTATGTTGATGTTGTTAGGAAAAATTGTGTAGTCAAAATTTTGAATACCTAGATTAAAAAAAAAAAACGGTACAATTTTTTTTTGCTAAACCAAGTAATTATACATTTGTAAATTTTGATGTTTAGTTTATAATATATACATTTTTAGTTAAAAAATATCTTTACTTAAGTATCATTTTATACTATTTATACTTTTTACCAGATTATTTTATGTGTTTTAAACTATTACATTTATTATTTCTATTATTACTATTTATTATTTATTTAAATGACTTATCAAACTTTATGAATTGTACTTTATAAATTATAAAATTGGTCTGAAATGTATACTGTGTTACTATAGGTAGCCTGATAGACAGGAAGTCTATATTGTTTTTTAGAAATAGAAGTTGTTTTTTCTTGGTTAGCTTAATTATATAGTGTGATTGACTAATTTTCTCTCATAATAATTTCAATTAGGTAAAATTATTTTTCAAAACATTTTTGTTTGTGTTATTTTACAACTGAAAACATGTTTTAATAACCACTTACTTTTTTGATAATTTTTAATTAAATAATATTTAATTATGATAAAAAAACAAAGCGTATTTAGTACATAGTATATATTTGTTTATAATTTTATTATTTAGAAATGCATTAGTTTTTAGATGTAGTTTTTGACACAATAAAGTAAAAGTAAACCAAATGTATTTTTTCTAAATCTGTTCTCATAGACACGTTTACTCTCGATAACGAGTGATTTGTATCTGTGTATTGTATTAAGTGATATTATATAATACGTTTAAACGAAGGATGTTTAACATATTGAATACTCTCTTTGAGTATACAATGATGTGTTCGATATAAATTGTATTATAAAGTCCAGATACCGTTATCTTTATTTATATGCATAGTATAATGTAGTAAATAATTATAGATTCAACATTTAAATAATAAATTAGCTTTAGTAAGTTTAACCCTTAACAATACCTGCTATTATCTAATAACTATAGATATATATAAATAATGTCTTGATAATAATTGAATAGTTTTATAACATATTCAATATTTTTGATATTTTCATTTTAGTCAGTTATCAATGAATCAAAGTATACAACTATTTTATTTTTAATAGTAACGCAGTTACATCTTATATCAATCATAATTCATGAAACACAATTTTGTAGCTCTACACAGTTTTGACCTCTAAACTTTGAGTTATCAAGATTAAAATAGTTTTGAATATTGAAAACCATATGTTCAGTTTTATTCAAATTCAACTATAAAAACTCGTAAAACCATGTAAATCTGTTTTAATAACTAAATATTATATTACTTCATTATTTGGGATTTAATGATTTTCAAATATGTTTGATAGAGACAGTGATAACGATATTGGTTTATAATGGCTACAGTCTAGTAATTATAACTAGAGCCCTAGTAATTAAAATTACCGACTGAAATAATAGATAATAACTACTGAACAATTATTTATTTCCTGTTTTGTGTAAAGGAATGAAGACACATTTGTTAAAACTATTGGGGCACTTACCTGAAAATAATGGTAAATTAAATACCTACAACTTTTATACTTTTCATTGTTAACTACAATTTAGTTAAGTACAACTGTTTAACAGTATAAAGTTAGTTTTATCTTCTACTAGTTTAATCTAGTATTTCTAACCAAAATTATGGGGGTATAAGATATTCCTAACACAATTATACCATTTTTAATTAATGTTAAATAAAAATGGGATTATCTAATCTGTTTTTAAATGTTCACTTAGTTAAAATAGAGTTAACCTGACCGCTTGATATTCATTTTTTTAATTTCTGATTTGACAATTTTATTATATACATATTAGTGGAATTGGAAATAGCCTCATTAGTTTTCACATTAAATATGTCCATAGCTACGTTTATATCATTTAAATTTTCACAACTTCACCAATCTTAAGTAAATATTAACATACTTAAATCAGTCTTATTATAACTTATTAAACTTATTGTGGGCAAAAAGAGCTTTAACAGCAGATCTCGATGAGAACGAGATAAGAGATAAATAAATATGATGAGATGCTGCAACTTGCAATTGTATCTATTTATTTTATAATATGTATTATTTCTATTTTTTTTATAATATAAGAAAAGTATACATTTCTTAATAAATGGAATGTAGGCAGAATTAATAACAGAAAAGTTATAATATCACTTCTATAAGAAACAAATCTAATTGATAATAATTGTATTTCTATAAAGGCAATCGAGGTAAAAGATAATTAGCCAAGTCTTTGCCAGGCTTGTACAAAAATATTTTATTACTTTTCACTAGTATCTTACAGCATCACTTTAGACATTTAATTCTACTTATGTTTGGAAATGTGCATTATCAAAAATTCTTATAAATCTATGGATCTATGAAAATATAATTTTAAAAGATCTAAATGAAATATGGATATACCTAAGTAGGTATTCTAATTTCTAATAGATTTTTATACTATCTGATTATCAGAGTATTAATTAAAATAATTAAAAAAAAGCTTTATGTCAATATTGTCCACCGTAAAACGGCAGGACTTAATCCAAAAATTATTTAACTACAACAGAAAGCAAGTTCCTAGAACAGAAAAATATATATTAAACACGAGGGTACCATACCTAATTTGTAAAGGATGGAACAGTACAATCGTTTGAAGAAGTTTTGCAGTTATTTAATTAAGATCTTTGTACCATACCAAGGGTAGATCAACATTTATGTGATGAGTATTTGATACGCTCGCATTTATGCGATTTCTGGTGTAATTATTCATAAATTATTGATTTAACTATTCACTAAGTAAATGGCCATATTAAATGAATAAGTACTTAGATTAATAAAATATGGGCTATGCAATCTTCTAACAAACAAGGACATTTTCAAATCAAGAGATAATTGTAAATTTGCAAATTTATATTGACCAAAAATTGTATCATATTTTTAAATCATATGAATAACTATTTCAGAACAAATTCATATTGTTTAGTTTGGTTTATATAATAAAAATATATACCCAGAGTAGCTTAATATAAACTAATTTCTGTAAAATATTAAGTGAATAATAATTATTTTAAAAACCTACTAATTGATTATAAATAACATTCAGTCTTGCAAGGTATTTTAATACCGATCAGTCTGATTTGATAATCTCACCAACATAAAAGCAAGTTTTTATTAAATTACATTATATATTTATTGAGTATGACGTTTATACGATTACGACCCAAGTTTGATCATTTTTATTAATACAACAGAATTGTTAAATCTAGTTTACAGTAATTTTATATTATGCCATATTCGTATTATCTACCTATTATCCCATGCAAAAGGGGCCGTACAACAATTTTTTTCTCTTCACGAGTCTTTATCTGGCAAAAGGTTCACTTTGGACTATAACCTTATAATGTATATATTGATTTATGTGGAAACTTGAAAATGAAATATGTGTTTGGTTCTAGTTATTCATGTAAGGTATTTAAACTACAAGTGTCATATGTTCCGTTATCTTGCTCTAATATATCCTTTAGGTACCAAATTTTGTTAATAATATATCTTCTAAAAGACAAGATTGAAGACAAAGCTTATAAGTTCCTACCTGTATTCTTTAACTACAGAATACATATGTAAGATGTGGTAAAACTAATTTATACTTGACAGCCAAATTCTGAAATCGTTAACTAATTTAGGTAAAAAGTAAAAATAATGTTTTATTTAAATAGTAATATAAACAATTTGAGGGAAATTTTAATAAAATTATTATTATTTTATACCAAATAATATTAAATTATAACATATACTTATATGATAGGTATATACTATAATATAATGTAATTTATTATGAACTTTACGTGTATAGTGTATACGATTTAAATTAGATAATTGATAAAGATCTAACTACAATTTGCAATAAAGATAAGAAACTAACTAAAGGCAATGTTTTTGATATTAAAATACGAAATTTCTCTTGGCGGGTTTTTGGTAAAATCGATGTTGGTACTATCTAGTATTACACATTTTATAGGTTATGTAACATTTTTTTCTTATCACGCGTTATCATTTTTTGGAAGAACTACCCCCAACTCCTCTGATACAGTGACGTTTTTGTAAAAATGGCAACACTGATCATAACTAACGTACAAGAATACGTTGGTTTATTGATCGAAGTTCGAGCAAGGGTCATATGTGTTCTACAACATTGGCTTCACTGCCTTTGTAATTTCATGGAAGCTGACGCCGAGTTTTCTTTGTTAGACTTATTTGGAAAAATATTTTTATCTACCACTTATCGGTATGTACTCACTGTTAATTTTTGTAACAATTATCAATTTTTAAACTAATATTTATAATTAACATACATGTACGTATATCCATATTCCATACAATATATCTGTTTTATTAAGTACCTATACGCGTCTACGTATAAATAATAACAATACATTTTCGAACGTTTGTTAATTAGGTATATTTAAAAGATGTACTAGCTTCCATGTGGAGCTGTTTACCCCTTTCCTTTCAAAACTGAGAATAACACTCCAAAAATTGATACATTTTTCAACTTGAAATTACGGCGCTCCATTGCTTTTTTAAAAATACTCGAATTAGTTCTAATTTTAAACGGAATATTCTTAAGATAAAATACTATAGATAAACGTTGACACAAACAAATATCATAAACCCTTTCTATTTAGGAAAACCCTCCAAAAAAGGGTGAAATTAAACTTTACATGGGTAATAGTACGTCGTATTTATCGTATTCACACTCATACTATAAATAAATGTTTTATGGATATTTTATTTCTACCATTACAGATTCGCATCGAAGCGTTTATTTGAAAGGGATTTTATCACTTTCAGTTACTAATTCCTGTAGGCATGAAACCACACCCGCTCCTTTTGTATTAGCTTAATTTTCTTTTTTATTTCTCCGATTATTAATTTTTGAAATAAATAAATATATATATATATATATTTATATATTTAGACTAAAAATACTAGATGGCTAACAATATAACTGGATGTTCCACGAGTTTAAAAAATAAAATAAAACTACATTTATGCTATAGACAGTAATATGTCAAAGAGAAGTACTTATGACGAAAGCTCTGAAGAGCCTCCCATGAAAAAAGTGCAATTAGAACCAGCTGGTCAGGATCAAATGGTTCAAGATACTAAAACGACAGTTCAGGTTGGATTTTATACTTCTATAATAATTTTTTCCAATTACCATTTAAATGTAATCACATTTAATTTTTTAATAATTAGAAGTCAATACAAACAGACAAATGTAATTCAAAACTCAAAAGCTTTGTGTGCTCATTAGCTGACAGCAATCGTTGCCTTCGGGAATTTGGTCTTGATCTACAGTATCCATTTGATAATTTAGATCAAAGTAAGTATACCCGGTACCTATGTATTTTATTAAAGGGTTATATGATTAATGATACTTTGTATTTTCTAAAAAATAATATATATATTTAGAAAATAAAACTTCGAGCTCTCACAAACATTAAGTTCTTTAAATTTCAGATTGCAATTATGGTAAACAATTAAGTTAGATTTTATGAGTTGTCAAAAATACATATTATGAAAGAACAACAATACAAAACGTAAATTACAAAATCAAAGTATAAAGATTACCAATACATAATATCTTATGAATTTTAAAGATTTTAATAACCGCGAGAGCTCCATGTTTTTAGTTAACACATTTGTAAGGTAACTACAGTTTTTGTATTTTAAACAAAGTTGAGTTAACTACTTACTAGTCTACAGCAATTTTAAGTATAGGATGTATAATGTTATTCGTATATATTAACTTAATTGTTTAAATAATAACATAAAAAAAATTTAGCTGAAAGATTTGAAGCAATGGAAGTAGATTATGATCCACAATGATTCATCTGCCATACTGATTACCAAATCAAAAATACCATTGAAAAAGGTAATTTATTAAATATAGAAAAATTGTGTTTGTGATATTATTATTGATTAATGAGACCATACTTCAGTTGAGCCGATATATAATACTTCTTAGATCATATTATGAAATTTAAAAGTTTCTTGGTCATTTAGATGATCCAGTTTAATTTAATGAACCTATCTTCAATTTGTATGTAGCTGCTTCTTAATAAAACTAAAAATAATTGATACCATGGTAAATTTATAGTAAAGAAATTGATATTTAAACTCTTAACCATAAAAATATTATACTCTATGCGTATACGTATTTCGGCAGCAATGTTGTCATCTTCAGCGCTAACTGAGTGTCATTAGTGCTGAAGACAACAACGTTGTTGCCGAAATACGTACACCCATAGTGTATTATTTCTATGGTTAAGAGTTTAAATATTAATTTCTTTACTATATGTATAACCATAAGTTGCTAACGTTTTTTCTATATGGTAACTTTGTATAAATCTAATTAAAAATGTTGTTTGTTTATAGATCCAGCAGTTGGATAAAGCACTAATCAGCAAACAACATGCACACTTTAACACTCAAACACACACATAATACAAATTGTTGCTTTATAGTTGTTTTTTATAACAACATATATGTTCAATTAACATATTGTTTTAAATTTAATTTTAAATATTTTGTAGTTTTGATAATTGGCTAACTTAGATAAGTCATTTGTATTATTTATATAAATAAATAAAATCTGTATGTAACAGTAGTGTTAATTAAAAAAAAAAATTATTTGTAAGTAGGAACACTGACCATATTTTGATAAATGAAACAATAGCACCAAAAAATGAATTAATTATATACTGTATTAATATAAATTGTAATACCATTTTTAATAATATATGATAAATTTACTACGGTTGTGTATATTAAAATGCAATAAAATATTGATAATAGTACAATACATTATTATAATTTCTATTGATCTAGCTTTAAAATATACATGGTTTTTATGTAGTATTTAAAAAACCTACCTAGCGTTTTTAAACATTAACAACATGGTACATAGATTAAAGTAAAAGTCTATTTATTGTTTACTTTTCGTTTTTATACTCATCATAATTATACGTTTTTATTGGTAGGTCAAACTTAATGTATCCCCAGTCTTTGGCTTTTTGCACTGCAATAAGTAGTTTCTCATACTGTTTTTGACATATCCCTGTTAACCTGTGAAAAATGTTACATTACAAAGTAAACTAACATGAAATTATATTATTATATGTGTTGCACAAGCAAATACTACTTACTTATAGGACAATACTTGACCGGAATGAGGACTAATGAATTGTTTGAGTAGTTCAATGTTTCTATAATCAAGAACTAAATATTCATCACGGCATACTGGACATGGATTACCAGAAGTAATCAAATCGGCTCTCTAGTAAAATGTATAATAAGATAGGTATAAAGAGCAGCTAAAAGTAATGAGTAATTAACATTAACATACAATACATGTTTTTCTAGTTTTCCTTGGCGGAATACTTCCTTTATGATTTCTACGATATTCTTTCCATACTGGATTATTTCCGTAAGTAGATTTGTAGGCTAAAAAAAAAGAAAACTCAAGTATAATAAAATATATACTTCTATTTATTGAATTAGTTTTATTAGTTGTTATTGAAGAACTATAATTCATTATAATGATGAATAGATTATAATTCATTATTTTAAACTATAGCTAAATACAAAAATTAAAAATATAGAAGAAACAATGCCAGATTACAAAGTAATTACATGTAAGAAACTTTTCAATTTAAAACTACTATTGTCGAATAAAATGGTTGAAATAGAAGATATCTACTTTTTGATTTAATAAAGATTGCTGCTTACTTGGATTTTAAATGACATCTTATTAAAAGCTCAACAATCAGCTAGTTTCAATATAATATTTCAAACTTGATTCCTAGTTTTATTTTTAAAGGGACTGAATTTTTAAAAATTAAATATACTTTGTTGTGAATTGTCAAGAACAATTCAACTTTACAGGAAAACATTTTTTTAAATTGATAGTACTCATTATACTGATTACGAATCTGCAAAAATGTTGGGCTGCTTGCAATTAGATTAGAAGTTATAAATGGTTAAACAAATGTGTCTATAACTAAAATGGTCATGCATGTAATTAATCACATAAGATTATAAAAAAAAATGTCCAGTTAAAAAGATAAAAAAAGGGATTGCCAATGATTAATATTAAGGTTAATTAGTGTAGCTAATTCATATTTTTTTATGAACTATTTAGTAGGCAATAGCTTAAGTATTTTGTAAATCTCAGCCTTCTAATTTCATATTAATCATACGTAACTGTTAAATAAGAATTTAGCAACAAATAACAATTTAAGTGATGATGTATTACTACTGTTAATATTTAATTAGATAACTTTATTTTGTAAGCAAAATATTATAACAATAAAATCATTATTACCGTCACTTTTTAAATATTCGATACTAGTTTCAACTGGTATAATTGTACTGCGATCTCTTAGAGGATCACGTTTTACATAAGATTCCGAAACCTGTTCCGATAAAGTTTCATTATACCTGATAAAACTGGTGTATACATTTCTACTGGTGTTCTAGAAACAAAAATTACCATTAAGCAATAGTACTTAACTTTGTCGAACAAACACAATTTAGTTAGGTTTTCTTATTATTATTATTGACAGCTAACTTACATGCACTACATGTTTTACGACTGGAAAACTGCTTGCTGTTTTGTACAGAGCTACAGACAACGTACGAAATGAGTTTAATATCATTTTATTGGAAATAGAACAAATATTAACACTGCACTATGTTTTTGTACAGTTTTTTAGTTGTTAGCAAAAAGCTTAAGTAAAAAAAGTGAGTAATGACTATTGACTATAATGTAAATTGTGATTTACAAGAGATTACATGCTGTTTGCCGACTACGACTACCGTGTACCGAAACCAGAGTTATCAATATCAAGAATGGTTCTTGGTGTTCGAATGGCTCTGTACAATGTAGATAGTTAAAAAGTACCTCCATTAGCTACATAGATAACACCAAAAACATTATCACAGCAGACAATATTATTTAAATATTTTAACTGTTTGAGTTTCAATATCAATATTTTTTAATTACTAAATATTGTTATTGAATAGTTTATTTAGATTTATTAATAAAAGCAAACTACACCAGATTTTAGTAACTTAAAAATATCTTGTTCATCTCAATAGTTTTTGGAGTAGAGATGTCGTAGTGATGAAGTGGTAGTTACCCAAGCGCATCCCTGTTAACTAGCGCATAATATTGTTGTTTATAGTTGATAAGGAATTCTGTTCATAATTTAATCAAAATATTTGTGTAGCTTCAGTTGATAGTTTGTTGAACACGCCTTGAATTGTTCTGTATTCTTTTCCGATGAACTGACTATTAAGTTTATTCACTTTACAAATCCTCGCAACATGCAGCATTACGGCAGCAAGACCAATTTCATTGGCATTGACAATGACAAACGTCACATGCCATTGTCCAAAAGATTCATCATGTATGCCTACGACAAGGATACTGGTGAAGTATTTGGGCGTACACCCTCCAACTGGGGTAAGACCTCTGTTATAATTATTAAACAACCATAAATAATTAAAAAAAACCCAAGACTGGGTTTGGCGTTTTATGCGCTTCTGGGATTTATGTTTTGTTTATTGACAAAAGGGTGTGTCTGCCATTGTTTGTGTTTAGTTTTTTGATATTTTTTAGAACACAAGTTATAAACGTTTCAAATAATACATATTTTTCAAATGGTTTTTGTTAATTCGTAAACTGCTCCCAGCAAACTTTTTTCTCTATATTTTGTTATTTGTATGATCTATTTATCTTTTTTTTACCCATATCAACTTTTGTGTTTTAAATATTGTGGCATAAATTAACTTTACCGGACACTTTTTTTTGCCATATGATGGTGTTACGCTGATTTAGAATTTGAAGTCAGATATAGGCGGCCTCCTCTAGTTCAAAAGTTATATTTCTGAATGTATAATAATAGGTGGCGGTCAGTGGAAGATGCGGCTGCCCGCACCATACATTTGTTGGCAACGCAAGGATGGGTTAGGTTTGAAATCAAAATTTGCAAATTTCAAGTAGCTATAACTTTTAACTAAAACAGGTCCCCCTAATTCTGTTTCAGATTTGTAATTAGCCTTAAAACTCTATAATATAGCAAAAAAATATTATGCAAAAAAGGGTGTCCGGTAAAATAAATTTGTTCCAATAATTTGACTAGTATACGATGATTCTATGCTTTTGATAATAGAAAAGGATCTTAACTTAAGAGAGTCCTAGCCTCTTTAGAAGGTTTCAAAGTTTGATGGTACGTAGATCAGCAATAGATTTACAAACATAATGTTACATTTAAATAGTGTGATGCTTGGTGATATAAATATCAAAAAGTATCAAGTTGTTCAAGTTGAAACCAATTCAGGAAGATGGATTTGTAAATAACTTAAGACTTTTTTAAAATTATAAGTTTAAATTTATTGTACATTAAAATATGAGTAGCCAAACTGCTACATAGATGTATTTTGCTTGAGTGTAATAATTCGTCTAGAATAGGCTTGGATCCTACTCCTATTTATATGGTTATGCTAATCTGTGTAAATGTGTTATTGTGTAAGTTGTGTTGACTTGATGGGCGGACGCTACAGCGAACGCACATCGTATGATTATTTTAATTGGTATTATTTTGGCAATCTAATCTTATAAAATGGCAATAACATGTTTTTCCCAAATAGCTTATCAGAGCGGAACGGACTCTAAATAGTTTTGATATATATATATTTGTAATGTAATTTAATCACTACGCCAGATAATCATGCAGGTGCGCTCTGTAATGACCATTAGTCATCTTTAGTATAAGTATGCCAATGCATGACTCAGAGAGCTATTATAATATGAGTAATATTAGGCTTAGTGTAGTTGTGTGTTTTGTGTAAATGGTGTGTAGCGGTTAACTGAAGGTTAGGGTCATAACAATACTATAAATTTAAAACGTTTCTATAAATATCTTTTACTTTTTGCTGCCTTTTATGTCAAAACCTTTTTTTGTTGCAAAACTTTTCCGCTGTTTGTTAGTAGTATCACTAAACTCCATTAGGTTATGTGAAACGTGTGTAAACGTCACTCTTAGTCAGTCCCTAATAGGAGAAATGGTATGGTAAATTAGGCTTTAGAACTTGTGGTTTTGGGATTTATGTATCATGAGAAGTTTTGCTCTATATTGAAAATCTAACCAATAACTTTATGTCTCTAGCTAGCTGCATAACCGTAGTATTTTGATTATTTTAGTGTTGGATTTTATATTTTGTTAAATTATTACAGAGCTAATATATATTTACGGCAGTTTTTTTTTTAAATTTCAAATGAAAAGCATAGGCTATAAATTCACAGGACATAATTATTTTTCTTTCATTGTAAAAACTTATGTTTAATAATCTTTTATTTTTTAGCTCAAATAGGATTGTATTATACAGCATTTTATCTATCGCTTGTTGCCATGTTTTCTGTGGTACTATGGATTTTCTTTCAAACATTAGATCCACGTACGCCAACAAGACAATTGGAACATTCATTGATAGGCACAAATCCAGGTATTTATTGTACAAAAAAATTAATATAAAATGTTTTTTTTAATACTTTTGTCAAAGTCTAACCACTCTCTGAGTATAAATAGTTAAAAAACTTGTAGTATGTAGCGTTGAGCCCCAATGGCTTGTTAAGCCTGAAAAAAATTGTGACACTTTTATATGGTTTTTAAAACGAACTTTGTTACTATTATTTTTAGGCTTAGGATTTAGACCTATGTCCAATGAAACTCATAGTACTTTGATTCATATCAACAGTAAATCCGTTGAAGAATACTCTGTGTGGATGAGAAGACTCGCTGACTTTTTAGATGGTATGACTGTTTTGTTAGTTTTAAACGTTGGTATAAATTGGTAAATGTAATCCATTATTATCCATTACAGTTTACAAGAAACCCGGTTTAACACCAGGAAGAGGTCAAAACATAGCTACATGTAATTACGAAAACCCGCCTGGTAAAGGAAAAGTGTGTGATGTCGACGTTAAAGCATTTGAGCTATGTACAGAAGAACATAGATTTTATTTTGATCGACAAGCACCGTGTATATTTTTAAAACTCAACAAGGTAATGTAAAAGAAGTATGAAGCAATTAATCTAATTAGTATCTGGCATATCATAACCTTAGTTTTTTCCAGTTTATTTTCAGGTCATATTCTTCTAAACACTTCTGCATCTCTTCTTCTAATGCAATTTCCATCTCGTTTTCAGTTATTAAAGCAATGTCGTTTGCGGAGCTATACATTTTTTATAAGTTCTCTTCCGATAAATACATTAAACAACATTGGTGATATATTATAATATTGTGATAGATATAGCTAAATTTTTATGTTTTTTATTTATAAATTAAAGCATAGTGCAAAAAAACTGGGTTAGCTAAAAAAAAATTGTTTTTATAAAACCTTTATTTAGAATTTTTATTAAATTAATTATAATTAAAACCAATAAATTATTGTTAACGGTCACATTATAAAAAAAAGTTAGGCATTAGTGTAACATAAATATATAATCTGTTGCTTACATATTTTTTGTGTCCTCTACCAATATCTTCTAATGTAAAGAAAATTAAATTTTTTTTACAATTACTGACATGAAACATGATTTTAGAATACACTTGTAAATGTTTCTTTTGCAGATTTATGGTTGGAACCCAATTTTCTATGATGACCCTAACGACCTTCCTTCAGATATGCCAGATTGGCTACAATTCCACATCAAAAACATAACCAATCCACATGAAGTTAGTTTAAATTATTCATTAAATTAATATAGTTTCTTGTCAACATTGTTTTTTTATCTCAGATTAAAAATAAGTTAGCAATAGTTATTTACTTACATTATAATTTATTTAGTTGAAAACTGTATGGGTGTCTTGTGACGGAGAAACTACGGCAGACAAAGAGCTTATTGGACCAATGTCTTATTGGCCTATTCCTGGATTTCCTGGATACTTCTTTCCATTTGAAAACTCTGAAGGATATCTCAGTCCTCTGGTCGCAATGCATTTTAGGAGACCAGCAAGTATGTTGAATGCAAAACCATCTTATAATATATCAAAACAATGTTAATTATCAATGTGTAAACATCTTAACGCGCGATTTGGCTAGGATTAAATTGGTGCAACTAATACTGAAGTAGTAGTGATAAAGTGAATCCGACAGGTTGTCAGAAATAATTGTTACAGATATAAAGCAGACAATCTGTTTAACATCTCGTTATCTTAAGTGGGGTTTACATTGATTGATTTCCGGTGTGTGGCTTGTTACCAACAAAGTCGCCTGACACAAAAGTCAACAGTCAACTTTGACTCATGTGATTTTATTCACCTGCTGCTATTTACATAGTCAAACGGCCTAGTCATACGGCTGAAATCGTCCCATGTAAATCCCGCATTAACAGCAACACCACGTTATCTGGTGTATTTTAAAGGACAATAAAATTTGTCAAATGTATATGATTTCTGTCAAATCGTTTTGTAAAAACGTCAAATTTGATCTAAACATATATGTTTTGATAATTAAATTATTACTAGGTACACTTTGTCTAAAGTGTCAATCGAAGTATCTATAGAAGCAAGTATTAATAAAATAAATAGAAAACAATACTAGATAACATAAAAAAAAGTTATTTATAATAATTTATTGTTGATAATTGAGAAAATGTACTTGACTAATAAAATTTAACAGATTTCTTTCACTTTAATTAAAGCATAAATTAATAATACGGCGGCCATGTTAAGTTCAACTTGTTTTTTTTCAATGTGGAATTTCTATTAAAACTAGCAAGAAGTTTACACATAACCATTGTGAATACTGCTGTGACTAACTTAGTTTTTTGTTTTGTATTTTAGAAAGCATTGTTATAAATATACTGTGCAAAGCATGGGCAAAGAATATTGTTCATAAACAAAATGGCGTCAACAGAGGATCAGTGCATTTTGAACTCATGATTGATTAGGTTCTTAATAATTATTTAAGAATAATACGACCCGTAAGAGTTTTATCATAACAAGTAAATTTTTGACATGTTTTGAATAATAACATACGATTTTTAACAATATTTCATATTTTAGAAATTATCATAAAGGTATACAATTTTTAACATTTTACTCTATAAAACAGTATTATTTATTAACTAGGAAACAAAATAAAAAAATATTATAAAAATATCCACAAAAGTGTATAATCATTTTCTTCTATATTGTGCAATTGAGTTCTTTTTCTAAAACATAAAAACAATTTATTATATACTTATAACATTTCCATTGTATAAAGTTTATATTTAAATTTAATGTTTTGTGTGTTTTACAACTTGATTTATAATAATTATTATTCTTGTATACATTTTTTTTTATTGCCTAATTGGCATGTATTTATGTTACAGTCAGGAATTGAAACAATATATTGAATTCCATTCCAACTTTGCTGCAGCAATATATTGTTTCAAGTTACCCTATTTCGACATTGACAGAACAATATAATGCTCTAGGTTATTATTCCGTTTCGACTACAGTGAAAACAATACATTTCAAGAAGTATGGCAACATCGACAGAGTAATCAAGAGCATTATTAAAATTAAATCGTTTCGTTTGAGTAGGAATGGAGTAATCTGAAACAATATATTGTTCTATCAAGGTCAGAATAGAGAAATCCGGAAAATATAATATTCCAATAAATTGTTCCGTTTCCCTAGCTATAGTGTATACCTTCCATTAAGTTGTTAAGAGTAATATTTAAGTTTTAAAAATGAATCTTATTAAGGTATATCGATTTACTTTTAATAGTTTTTAACTGTTTTTTTCGATAAAACAAATAATAATTAATTTTAATCTCGTTTATGTACACTACTCTTAAATAATAATTATATAAATGGTTGTAAATTGAACACTATACCATATTTCCCTTTTCTCATTATTGTAGTTTTTTTTATTATTATTTAAAATAGTTAATTTATAACATTAAACAATATATTTTATACTATTGTGATACATTTTAAATATTTTATTTATTTTAAGTTAGTTTTTAACAAAATAAGTTTAATATATTTAACCTACGTGTTCACTAACATTAACAATAACTCCGATTCTCACAAGTAAAAAATTTAATTTGTTTAAAACAACCTATTAGTTATTGTTATAAAAATAAATAAATGTTACCTTTAATATATAACATTTATTATAGAACAATATGTAAGTTAAAATTTTGTATATACTATAATATGCCAAATTTGTAACTTTTGTGGTAAAATATACATTTTGTTCATAACTTTAAAATAATTTTATAATATACGTTTTTGATTCCTCATAGAGGAAGCTACGGTTTCCTGCAAAATTTTTTTCCGATTATCGAAATGGCTGTGAGACCTTATATTGTATTGTAATCGAAAATAGAACAACTTGGCATTCTGTCAATTGGTGTGTATGCGTGCGCGTTGGTCTGTGCAAATACTATGTCCTTTTATAGCGACTATGCGGATTTATATTTTTCCCAAAAATTTGAACAGTATTTGTTCGGTTGTCTAGATGAACTTATTAAAATTTTGTGGTGACCAGGTGATGAGTTTCATTTGGAGGGATTTTTTTTAATTCCTTTATATTGATCACAGATAACTGAAATTTTTATATTTGTGTAGTAGACTGTACTCGACATGTAAAAAATTAGTATTTTTCTCTTATTTCAGGCGACACTGTTCATTTCCTAACCGGAAAATGTGTGAAATCAGTTTTGGCAGCAATGAATAATTTGTAATAATGGTTAATTTCTGGCTACACTGATGCTCTTAACAATTTTACTGATTTCGAGTTCTCAATTCTCATTAGCTGTTTCTTGAGAGTTCTGTGCCTTAAATATTTAGAGTTTAGCTTTAGACCCTGATATAGTTTAAGTAGTTAGTATGGAAATTAGAAACCAAAAATTGAACAGTACTAAAATTTATAGTTGGTGGTTTTTTAAAAATTATAAATATTGAAATTTGAGAAACAAAAATATTGAAGAAGTTATGTGTCAATGATGTTGCAGCGGTTATATTTATTTGTGTTACATCGCATTATTGTGGCTTGTGCTAAGGCCTAAGACAATATAATCTCATTTTATTTCCACGACACATATTATTATTATATCTTTATGTTTGTATGTATTATTTTACCAGTTTTAAATTTTAGAGGGAAATGTATGTACTAAATTACTCAATAATACAGGTTCAATAGTATATTGAACCTGTATCTAAAAAGTTGATTATAAATTTTGTTTTTATGATTATGCATTAATGCTGTTTTAACAATAATTCTCAGTAAAAAAAAAAATTGTTTTGCTCTAATCACACCAACCTTTTTTTTTTTTATTTGTGGTGTCTAGGTATTTTTCTAAAGCTTTGTTTTCACCTGTAAACAATCAATAATTGGTCTTGTATTAGGAAATGGCTAATGTTAGTTCCACATGACTTAAGTACCCTATTATTATAATAAAACCATCCAATTAATGCTATAGATAAAGATTTCATATTTTACTATAATACATTTATTAACTTGTTCAAATTATATTGTAAGCTCAGGTCCTAACTAAAGGTCCACGATCAAGTGTCAACAGACAACAATAGTATATTATAGTAGTATATATTATATAATTTGATAATAGTTTAAAGTTTGTACAATTGATTAATGTAATTTATTATTATCCTTTTATACTTACCATAATCTTAGTTATCTTTAGGTATCTTATCACTTAACGGATAGCATTTTTAGCCCATGTTGATTTTCACCTCAATTTGTATGAAGTAAAAACTAAGAACTTAAAACTATGATATTTATGCTGTTAAATATGATTTCATAAAAAAAAACTTTGAAGGAGCAAAATAAGTAAATAATAATAAAATTAAGGATAATGTTAAATTTTGACAGTTTTTGAATAAAAAGAAATACAAATTAATGAAAAATCAAGTTTTTTTTTTATAAGAAATGGTGGGCATCTTGACTTCACCATTGTATGCCATCATATTTAAAGTAAAAATCAAGTACTTAGTAGAAAAAAAAGAATTCAGTTTTTTTTTTGAAAGGCCTATGACTTCCATAGTACATAAATCTGAGCAGAAAACTCTACAAGTGTCAAAACTCAATATTAACTCAATATGTCAAGTCAATATGAACGCGAAGAGGATTTGAAAAAAAAATTAAAAATACATTTATATATTATGTATAACATTTGATAATCATCCTTATCGCAATCTTGTACGATACACATCTTGAAAATATAATTGTTTTGTTATATTTAATATTTATATACATATATTTTTTTTTATATAGCCTTTATATATTTTTAGTACGAGTTCTTTTTGGAATAAAAACAATTGGTGGGCCGCAGGTTGAGTATGGCTGTACTAATGGATCTAAAGATTACATTTTTTTAAAAATTAATTAGGTATATATTAATTTAAATACACACCAATAGTTTTACTTAAAGACTGCCGCAGATGATTGTTAACCTCAAGAACTTTCATAACATACTGATATAGTTTTTCATTTTCTGTCCTCAGGGATTTGTTAGCTTTTTCCAACTGCATTTTTTCTTCTTCCAAATTTTGCAACGCTTTGGTCATGTTAGAACAGAGCTATTTAAGATTTATTATAAGATAAATAATAGTATATTATATGATAAATGATAATACATCATTATAGATACAATATAAAAACTAAAAAATAGCTATTATTTCATATTTTCATATAAAAAGACACAAAACATTAGAACTTGTTCATTTAGACTTACTTCTGTGACAACGTTAATATTTTCGTTAACTTTTTGATAAGACATAGTAAAAACTAAAAAGCTAATCAACTATCACTAAGCCACGTAACCGTTTTGACAGTCAAATTGTATAATTATATGACGATGAATTATGAAATTGTGAATTATAAAATTTAACCATATAACATGTTTATGAAATTGTTAATTATAATATATAACCAAGGTCCAAGTTGGGGGTGGAAGAGCGTGTTGAAAGCGGCAATGGTCCTAAATGGACCGTTATAAGCCTTAGAAGATAAACACAGTATTGAATATCAGTGTTGCCGAAACGCTAAAACTCGTGCATAATTTTAAAATGATGACATTAATCTTACACGTAAAAAAAGAACTTTATTGGTTAATCGTAATGTTTGTATTTACATTTTGTTTAAAATAGTATTTTATTTGATTGAAATAAATGAAAAGCGATATTTAAAAGAAAATAAGGCTGGCAACATTTCTGTGTTTATGGTTAGGTTAAATAACTTTCTGAAGAACAACTGTCAATTCTGTACTAACAGGAAAACATAACTTATACGTTTTTATTAAGTTGGTCTGATTGAAGCCTATTATTTCATCTTTGTAAATATAATAAAATAGTTGAGTAATTAGGGTCACACAAATATATTTAAAAATATATTTTATCATGGCCTACAACTCCTTTTTTAGTAATTTGCTGTTTGAAAAAATAAAAATAAAAAACAATATCATTAAGGCCTAGTTTTAGTTATGTTTTTTAGTTCATATTATAAAACATGTCGAAACATTCTTAGACGTAACACTTTTTTTTACAAAAACGATGCATACGAAAGCCCAAAAAATGAATTTCCAAAGCTAACTGTTTAAATAACTTAAATAGCGATTGTAGTAATCCCAGTCACAGTACAAAAAATAGTAGTTGCAGCTCAGTAGAGTAAGAAATAGACTTTTTAAAATAGGTAACACACAATTTATAATAGGTACAGCCATAGCTGTTGCTAGAATAATTACCAGGAGGGATGCACAGAATTTTAATACTATATTTTAACCCGGGTAGTCAAGTATTTTAAACGGCCCGAGTCACGACGTATGCCGGGTAAAGGGCCGTTATAGCTGCCTAGGGTCACATGAATAACTCGTATTATACTAATTTCTTTCTACAACAGCGGTTCTCAAATTTCTTTATTTGTGGAGCCCTTAACTTGCTAAATAAAATCTAAGGAGCCCCAAAAGGCTCTCGAATAAAAAAAATCGCAGGTTTATCTTAGGCGTCTTTATAATTAGTTCCAAGATGGCGATGCAATTTGGCAGAAAACATAGAACTATTAGGAAAAACTTTTACTACATAAAATGTACTGTGCTCTGTGGATAATAATTTGCATCTATGAAATCAAACGACATGTAACTTATCATATTTCCTTATTTTTACATAAAGCAGTATAAGTTTGTTGGGTAAACTATTTTCTATTCTTAAATAAAATATAATTATCTTATGCAAAACCAAATAAACGGACAGAATTTGTCAGTGGTAACTGATTCAGTAATGAATGGTGCCAGAATAAAACACAGGACGTCTTGGTCGGTTATATAAGAACCACAGCGGCTGTTAATGTGTATATTTTTATTATTACTAATTAACGTTGTTACAGAGCCGTCACAAAGCAGAAGGCAGAAAGAATAAAAATACATATTTCATTGAAATTTACTATCAAGGTTGTCGCAGAAGGGGCCTTATCGGTTATCGTCTATCAATGACTCATATACACAGGATGATACAGGTTTTTTTCATACAAACTTTGAGAATATTATCATGTTGGTAAGCGGAATCGAAAAAAAATCTCGTAGCCAGGCGGTTCTAGGACTCAAATTTCGTACGGGTAATTTCTTTATTCTTTATACAAAATGTAGTTAAACATATAATGTTATTAAAAATTATAGGTAATATAAACTATATTTTTATAATCCATACATTTTGGTACGGGCTGCCCACCCTGCCCGTAAGCTAGAACCGCCACTGCTCGTAGCGTCACCCCGGCGTCTGAAAATCCCGAAAATCGTGTGACATATTAAAATAGGGATTTCAGGGGACAAAAAAATCTCGAGCTGCATTTAATTTTGTAATAAATTTAATATTAAATGTAGCTGCCGTAAGTACCCTTTTAAGTCCCGCATTTGCTTTTGCTTTAGGTTTTTGATTCCGCTCACTGACATGAGATCATTCTCAAAGTTTGTTCCGTGCCTGGATCACTCTGTATATATGTATGTATATATATATATATATATTATGTACAAACCGGAAGTTATCCTATAAACGTCTAAGTTAACTTGAGCATGTTCTTATTCATTAGACATTTATGTTAATTAGCTTATTACTGATATCCACAACAGAAATATTTATTCAGTAAAGGTACAGTATTATTTCGTTGAAGTCGGAAGTGAATCAGTTAAATAAAAACCAGCACAGTGGAGTTGGAGCATAATGGGGACGGGAAGGTCTCAGGTCTACAGGAATTATTATAACTAAAAGTGATAAAAAATGGTTAAAAGCGAATAAACGCTTCAATGCAAATTTGTGAATAGTGTTTTCAAACCAGTATAACAGGAAAAAATGTCTTCCCCTGTGGAGGGCGGGAAATGTGTAAATTAAAAATTGAGAATATTGCCGTATGAGGCTCAACAACAAGTATACATTTTCCAATTTAAAAAGATTTCCCTAGAACGAAAAATATAGGTTACAAACGTATTTATTTAATTGTACTTATATTTACTACTTGTACAGTAGTAAAAATAATAATAATAGTTGAAAAACACATTTAAATATCATATTTTTAAAAATAAATAAGTTTTAACGGCAAACATACCAAATAAACATTCTTTATAAATTTCAACTAGATCCGACCATTAGTCTCGAAATTATAGCTAGAAAAATTGAAAACCCGTATAATCCTATTTTTGTTTTCCCGATTTATAGGGTGAAGTATGAGTGTAATTATTCAAATTTTACCCCCCAAAGTACCAACTAGATAAAATTTGTGATTTATATAGTTGCTACTCATCACTTTCAAAGGATTTAAAAATACAATTATACATTACATTAATACGACCGGTGATTACTTATAGAGCTGAGACATGGCCATTAAGGAAATATGATGAAAGAAAACTCTTAGTTCTGGAAAGAAAAATACTGCGAAAGATTTTTGGACCAGTAAAGTACATGCTAAGCGGTGAGTGGAGAATAAGAAAAAATGATGAATTAGAAACGCTCTTCCATAAACCCAGTATACTCGAAACAATAAAGAACAAAAGATTGCTATGGGCTGGGCATGCTTGGCGTAGTCAAAACCCACTCATACGCATAGTATTAGAAGAAAACCTTACTGGGAAAAGACCGCTGGGAAGACCACGTCTGAGATGGGAGGACGTAGTAAGGAATGATGTGAAAGCATTAGGAGGAGGTGTAGACTGAAGGATACAGGCATCGAATAGAGAAAATTGGAAGCAAGGATGTATGTCGGGATGGTCCTAGTGGCCGAGTTTACCAAAGAAGAAGAAGAAGATAGTTGCTACTCAAAGAAATCGGTCCAGTATAAAAGAAAATTACAGTGAGTACAGACTAAAAAGCACTTAATGCTAATAAAACTACAAGCTAAAAAATGTAGGTACCTAACAGTATTTTTTTTTTATTAATTACATCTTAGTATTAATTCATATATATTACTTGGTCCTTTATTCAGTTAGTTTTCATTCACTTTATTTAGTTTCTTCAAAAATACGTCTGGCTGAATGGCAATAGCGTTGTTTAAACACATTGCTAGCTTGAAAATCATCAATCGCGCCTATTATCATTACATTTTTCCCAACGGCGTTACGTTTATGTGGATATTATTGTTTGATAGTGTTTTTGTGCAATGTCTATACATAATATGTACAGAGGTCTTTCGAAACGGGTTCTTTTACATAAGTGGAAAATACCGTCGGTGTGGCCCAGATTGTATGCGGAATCCTTGTCGTGTAGTCCTACTGGAGTATCACCATCGCAAAAAGGGTTGGTACTGGGATGTTACGTACGACACGGTGATCGGACGGGCGAGACTCTGACATTAACGAAGACTGCCAGTAAGTTCAATGACATCGTTAAAGGCAAACTGCTAGAACAACTTAAAGCGGCCAAGCCACCACCGGCCAAGTGCGAAGTACGAACATTTTTTGGGCTAGACACTGAGTTCCCGTACGTGTCCGTGGTCGGGTTAGACGACGGGTGTCTCGGGTACAACGAGCGAGAAGGAATAAACGATGAAATGGAATGCGTGCGAAACGCGGCAGCTCTGGGCACAAAATCGTTACTCAATTTTGACTTGCAGAAAATATATCTGGAGAGCTTTGAATCGGCACAGAATTCGGCCGAAGGTGCGTCGATGGGTATGTGGTCATACGATGAGCTCAAATCCAGAGAAAATAAAAAGGCTCTGCCTAAAATTGAATTGTATGACAGCTGCGACTGGTATGAGTGGCAAATTGGCCTGCAGAAGGGTGCGGCGCAGAATCTGACACGGCAGTTGCAAGATATTCCGGCCAACTTACTGACACCCAAATCGTTTGCTCGACAAGCAGTCACTCTGTTGTCTAACCAAGGCATTGATGTCATCGTGCGAGCAAAGCGATTTATGGAGTCGAGAAAAATGAACGGGTTGCTGGCTGTGTCCAGCGGATCATGCGAAGAGCCACAACTCCTAGAATGCACGTACGAAGGATGCGATATGAACGCGCCACCCATCGTATTGATCGCTCCAGGCCTAACATACAACTCCGGAGGTCTTGGCTCATTGAGGACGTGCTCATTACAAAAGTACGTTCGGGGTGAAGTATCTGGCGCCGCGTGTCTAATTAGCGTTCTACGGGCAGTAAGCGCCCTGGAATTAAAATTGAACATTAAAGCGTTTATACCGCTGTCAGAGAACATCATAGGATCGGGAGCCATGGAGCCCGGGGCAGTTGTGGACATGAAAAAATTAACGGTTTTGGTGAAAGACACGGCCAAAGCCAACCAGTTGATCGTAGCAGATGTGTTGACCATGATCGCTTCTGACTCTTGTTACAAGCCCCATATGCTGCTCGACTTAGGGCCGTATAGCGACCGCACCGAGGTCTGGACTACTCAGGCTGTGGGTGCATTCACTAGTAATGATTCACTAATGGAATCGTTGCGGGCGGCTGCCATGAAAACCGGAGACCGCGTATGGCGATTACCGCTATGGAAACAGGCCAGCGTGCAGATGACATCTGCGGCCCAAGAAGTGGATGTCGTCAACTCAATGCCCATTTTTGGCGGATTTGCAATGCAGGCTGCCGCATTCCTTCAACAATTCGTGCCACTAGCCGTCCCCTGGCTGCACTTAGAAATCGGTGGTCTCCTCCGAACCAATGGACTAGATGCTGCCTATCTAGCGCCCGGTATGTCCGGTCGACCCACACGAACGCTAATAGAACTTTTAGGACAGATGACCTGCCCACAACCCACGAAATAATTAATCGTGATATTTTAACGTATTATACTTTAGAAATATATTTTAATGTTACTATGGTATCGTGTTGTTATCGTTACAAGGTCGCAAAGAATTTTGTACATTTTAAATAATACATATATAATATATAGCATATAGCATAATATGTACATATTTATATATATGTACATATATATAAATGAAAATCTGTTCGCTGGTGATCGCATCACTTGAGAACGGCTGGACCGATTTGGCTCATTATTTAAAAAAAATTGTCGTAGTAGTCCGAATAAGCTTTTTACGGAAAGAAAAATTGAAAAAGTTGCCCGAAAAATTTTAGTGAAATTAGTAGCAATTTTAACATGAATGAATTCTGATTAATGAATAAATAGTTTGTTAGAGCCAGCAACAATTTAAATTAACAATCGCTGGTAACACCGATTGTATACCACACACATATTTTACATTTATAATTTTCTTATAGTTTTTTTTAAACAAATACCCACCCAGAGTAGAAAAATTCAAAGTAAAAATAATTAAATATTGTGGTTAATTAACCGATATTAGTAAATTCATCATTTTAATACTCATATGAATGATGAATTTTAAAATCTATTTTAAGTCATCATATAACTTAAGCAAATACAAAATATACATAGGTGTACATTTGTAATTACTCTGTTGCAATTGTATTTCTTAATCCAAGCGAAACCGGGTACTTAGCTAGTTGTATTTCTAAATTGTAATATGGAAAATCAGATTAAGCTCAGTCCCATATAAGACTACCATCGCAGTCTCCTAGGAAAGTTTCCTAGTGGATTCGCTATCCAAGATGGTCCATCAGTCCGTCGATAGCTAGAAAGATCACAGCTTTTTGCTTACTTAGTTAGTACCGGTTTGAAACTAAGTAACACAAATGTCACACTAACCTAGCATTTGAAATAGAACTGTTGAAAATAGTCACGCGATCAGATTTGATAGTGTGATTAAAAGTTTTTCTTTCATAAGTTACACATGATGTGAAACGAAAGATTCATGATACGCGTCTGGTTGGATTCAAATACGAATGATTAAAAATAAATATAATTATATTTTAATGGTTAGATTGTTGTTAAATTGCCGTCAATAATTATTATAAATATAAACGTACTAAGTAATTTACGTTAATATAGTTAATACTTTCAGAACTATAAAAAACATTTTGTTTTGCTATGTATAGCATTGTAAAAACAAACAAATAAAATAACGTTCCCATTACAATAACAGCTTATGAGTAATTAAGTAATGAAGGGGCTCACATTAAGTGGCTTGTTGGATATATTTTATTTTGCCCACGAGTTTCGCAGTTTCCTCGTCTAGTTTTTTCAGAACAGTCATACTTTTCGAGTATTTCGTTTTGGTGTGACCTCTTTTTTCCCTCATTTGATGAATGTTATCAACAAAGTGGTTAACACTCTTCTGCAACTCGTCTATCAGCATGACTGGACGCTGCATGATATAATCGGATTGGGAACTGCACGGTACTCGGTTGATGACTGTCCCGGACGTTTTTGCGTTGTGGTCGTTTCGTTGCCTCGCGGTCGACACTGTTCTGTTACGCCTCGCACAGATGGTCACGTTCTCGCTCGACGCGCTGGCCGTCGTCACCGTCAACAGCGTTTCTTTGCTCGTGGCCGCCGTGATCGTCAGCAGCGAATCTCTGCTAGCGGCCGTCGTACATCGTCGGTGTTTTTCTGACGGGTCTAATTTATATACAGCGCCCCTGCCACCGCCTATCCTCAAACCGTCTTTACACGTAATTCTGTGCACATTCAAGCCGCTCCTGTTGGCGTAGTCAGTGACCGTTGCGCATTGCCGGAAAGTCTTTTCCCGCACTTCACCCATGTCTGTGGTCAATTGTTCCATCGTTTTGATAAAGTCGTCCGTTGTGGCATTGGACGTGCGCAAGTCGATTCTATTAAGCGGACATATTAGTTTGTGAGCACACATCGAGTGGCCGTTGCCGTTCAAAGTTTCATTTCTGTCGCTTCGGTATGCTGCCCCCTGATCTGTCGTTCTCTTTAACAGTTCTGCAAATAGAAAGAGTCAACTAAATGTATTTATATTGCACTCCTCTTGTACAAATCGCGTTCACCTCGTTTTGTCGCTGTTTTCGGGTCGAGTTGACGGTTGACCGCCTCTTCCGCCACCGATTGTGGTCGATTAGTGGCCACCGGTAGTTTTCGGCCTGTGGGTGCCGCCGTCATCGCCCTATCCCTGAGTTGCCGGTAACGAGCTTGCGGTGTGACCGCGGAAGGATTTTTCAGATCGGCGGCGGCCGCCGAGGCAGGAGTGGTGTCTTTGACGAAGAAAGACATGCGTAGTGCCACGTTGCCGTTGCCTGTACCGCAATGCAATTTGTAGTTTTTGAACGCCACTTCCTGGTCCCAGTCCCGACCGATTACCTGGAATTCTTTTAGCCGGATCACGACCAGTCCCACTCTTTGCCTCTCGTATAACTCGTCGTCCACGTAATTGTCACCGCGGTAGGCCGGAATCGTCGGTATTCGAAAACATTGTACCAGTACCACTCCGTTTGCGGTTCGCATACTCTTCACCCTCGTCTTGTCGGCCGTCCACACGAACCGCTCGTCAAAGTTGATCCGGTACCGATGCGCCGGAAAAGCGCGCGAGCTCGACCGGAGTGCATCGTCAAACGTGGCCTCTAACGACACGTGGCCTTCGATCAGCTCGAATCCGATGCCGTGGTGGACGCGTACGATTACGCTCAAGTTGTCCGACCGCAACCTGTTCATATTGTCAGTATGCTGACACCGGTCGCTATTGAAAGTACATACCGTTGCTATGGTCGAGTACTGTGGTACACTAGTGGTTGCTATACTTATGTGGAACCGACGCACTTTCTGAACTCTGTACATGACATCCAAAGACCTTGTAGACACCATGCACGTCGTGAATACAAATCAACAATGAATACCAACAGAAGAGTCCGGTGCATAACCGGCTATCTCCATATTTTGAAATTGTTGAGGACCGCCCAAAAGAAAATCCATTGTCCCATTTACCACTATTGGCGGGGGAAAATGCGTTTTGTATTATCTTCTAGGCAATAGTCCGATTTTACTGTCTGATGCACCAAAATTTAAATACTTTTCCGTGAAAAAACAATTTTTTTTTTAAATTGGAGATAGCCGGTTCTTGTACCATGGATCCTTCATTATAGCTGCCCAGCTTGTAGCTTGGTGGCCATATTATAACCTATAGGAGGCGGAGACACTCTCAAACACAGAAATTAAACTAAAATAAAAAATAAACGATGATATTATGTTCTCAATACATTATAGTTAAGACCCTCGGTCTGATGCTAGTCTACATAAGTAAAAAAAAAACATTGAGTTCAATAAATACGATACGGTAGTTATCATGAATCGTGACCATAAATAATCCTATTAATAATATTCCTTAAAATTACTTACATTCGTCGCCAGTTATCTTCCCAAAACATTTTTTTTGAGACTAACAAAATAGAAGCATCATTGTTTTTCCTGAATCTGGATTTTGATAGCCACGCCTCTAATTTATATATATTTGAATTGGCTAGTTGTTAGTTACATAAAAATGTAACTCTTCCCATCCTTGGTCGACTCATATTGTAAGAGTACATGTAAAATGTGTACACAAAAACAGTGTAGTAAAAAAGAAAAAATATCCAGGACTTGTCACCCTAAACCTTTTTTTTAAATAACAAATGTTCGAACTTTAATTTGTTTGTAACTATTCTAGTTAATTATCTAGAATTAAATATCAATGACATAATTAATAAATATATTATTGACACTATTATTCTTGTAATACTCGAACAAACATGATATACTTATAAAAGTTTTGGAGGGGAAAGATATGCGGCGCATTGAATGTATAATATACAGGGTGATCCAACTAACGTAAGACACTCATTTTCTCGGAAAATATGAATATTTTGAAAAAACATTTTTTCCTATTCTTTTAGGTATAAGTTTTACTACATTTTTCAATGCTTCGAAAATTTTTATTTTCATCCCTTATACGATAAAAAGGGTCTAAGTTCACGTTTTCAAATGGCAACATATGTTTTTAATTCCATAAATTTGTAGGCAAAAAATTTAAAAATATGTTATCGTTTGAATTATTAATTTTTATCCATCTAGTCGTTAGCTATGACTTTGTAAAGATATTACATTTTCTCTTAAATATTGTTATATTTCTTTGGTTTTCCAAAGACCGGGAGCCAATAAAATACTTATTTATGATCGCATTGTCCGATAGATGAGTACACAGATAACCAAACACAATAAAATGTTTTGTGATATTTTGTTTGACTAGCGTTTCATATTTATAGATTACCGACTTTTCTAACACACCGTCATGACAGGTAGGTTGACAGACCTATATTGACAGCAGCTAACGAATGGCTATTTAACCATAACAATCAAAAACCGTGGTACAAGTAGGTTGATAACTGCTGCTATGATGATAATACAAAATATTATTATCATTAGTTATCATATTTTTCTACTATCTATGTTCTACATTCAACAAGTAACAGCACAGTACAACAGATCATTATTATGCTATTTGAAAATTATAATTTTTAGTTTTTATAGGTAGTAAACAATAGCTTTAAAATTTGGCTTACAATCTCATAAGTGCATACATTGAATAAGACACGCGTCGAGAAGCGTTACTATTATTTGTTTAGTTATGTTCAATTTATTCAAAATATGTTCTGTGCTCAAATAATTGTTTTAAACAATTTACACTAAATAAGGAATTTTGGATTTAATTTGCTTACTATTTTAATTCTACAGTAAATATTTAAAATGTTGCTTATTTTACATTTATAACTAACTTTTTTTTATTATATAAACAACTTTATTAATAAAAAATAATGCAATAAAGTGGACTGTGTTTAAATGATTAAGTTGTCTAAAGACTAGATGTTTGTAAACAGTGTTTTAGGAACCTACAACAAAATCACAGTTAAG